GCCGTGCGCATCAGCTGCATTTCTCCATGCGCATAGACCAGTTGCGCTGCGATGGTCATGGTAATCTCGAAGGAACAAGGAACGCCGATTCGTCTAGGCGAAACAAGGAAACGCCGCTGAACGAAAAAGGGAGACGGTGGAAATTACTAATTCCATCGGTCGTCTTCCGAGCTCGACGTCCTTTGGCAAGAAAACGCGCCAAAGACAATTGGGAAAAACCGCTTGTCGTCCATTATCGCGCTCTCCTAGGATTTCCTGTTCTTCGAGATTCGGGATTTCCAGGTGGTCTCTTTGGTTCGCGGGATCGGGCAGTCCCGTTCGAAAACGCTCGAGAATCTCGACGATATTCTCGTTCCAGATCGATAAATGCTTCTCCGACTATTCAATCCGAAGTTTATACGTTTCGTTAAACGGTGGTGCTTATTTGTCGATACTCGACAGGCTGCATTTATCATTCCGGCGTGAAATAATCTCGAAGTGGGCAATTACCAGAAATAATTACCGTCCATGACAATTCAGCTAGACGCGAGAGCTCTCGGCGAAAAGAATGGCGGCGTGGACATCTCGTGGACGTTTAACGACGACCTCTTTCGAATGGAATAATAATTGCGCGTCCAGTCCTGGAACAAATGAATCAAACGGAGATCGAAGAGATCGAAGAATCGTCTGTCGCAATTCAGCGTCCATCGCGGTGTTCGGTTCGCAGAGGTTCTTAGCTCTTGGAAGCCACCGTGTAAATTCTATCAAAGTCTATGTTACTCTACGCCGTGGTACGATCATGCCCCACTCCGGCACGACTACACGTGAAAAGTCACGCTCTGCTGGATCAGGTATAGTTAGTCTCTAATGTACTGGGTGGCTCATCGTTTCTTCTAACTAAATCGTTGTTGGCATGTCGCAAAACTTTCGCGACAGCTACATCCTTCCGAACAAGCTTCGTTCGAAAGACAATTTTTAAAAGAAAGATAGTTACGAGGTTTTCTGAGTCATCTAATCAGCAACGGTATAGTATAACCTGCCCCGGCGTTCCTCGGAGCGGTTTGCGTTGAGCAAATGCTGCTCCGATTCGATCGACGTTTTATTAAGAGCATAAATGCGCGAGACGAACGTTATTGAATAAACCGTGGAAACGCATTCCCACGGGTTACGTAGAGCTCGGTGGAGCGGCAACGTCCTATGGTTCGGTGCACGTGAAATCGTCGGTACCGCGTAAATTGTCCGCGTTATTAATACCTTGCTCTGAAACGGCAGAAATCCTGTTGCAGTTATGCACCGACTCGCTGGATACAGCCATTTCGCTGTATTCCAGTATTTCCAGTTGCAACCCTCTTTGAACGAAACTCTCCCCGCCGCAGATACCGTGGTTCGCGTCGGAAACGCAAGAAAAGAAGGCTGCCGCGGAGCTATCGTCCGTCGATGAAAAGACGGGACTTGGACTTGGCGAGTGCCTATTGGTCGGAGATACTCCGACGCGTGAGGCCAATCGGCGACGCGCGACATCGTCATCTTCCATTCGCGCGCAGTTTACCGCCAAAACAACCCGTTTTGAGTGTTCCTATAATATTAAAATTTTACAAATACATGTAATATTATACTTCGGAGTAGTTTTAAACTCGAAACTGATAAAAAGCGAGCAATTGGTATGGTTTTAATAATTTGATCTTCCTCGGTGTGAAATACTTTAACGAGGTTCCTGTGGAGTCTCGTTGCACTACCAAGCCACATTGCAGGGCACAGGTGGAGTCAAGAAGCGGTCCCTTGCCCTGGTACCCCTGGGGACCGTACATCCCGTCCGTCTAGGATATACGGCGAAAATCCAGCGGACCAGTGCCACGTGCCCGAACATCGGGCGCCGTTCGATCATTCGGAGCCGGTTCACCGGAAAACCGTAGGGCCCGTATTTCTCGATCACGGTGTATGCGTATACTTGTATCCCCGTACACGCGTCCGTGGCCACGGCTTTCGCTACGGTGTTAGCCTATTCGCCCATTCCGAGCTGAGTCACACACCACCGACACACCGCCTCTCGTCTCTCTCTTTTTCCTTCGCTCTGTCTCTCCCGCACCATCTCCTTTCCCCTCCGTTTGTTCAGGCTTCTCCCTACCACCGGTTCTCCCTTCGAAATCCTCCCCCTCCGCCACGTCCCTCACCTGTGGCTCGTACCTGCGGCCGCAGGGGCCGCAGGCTGACTCCCCAGGTCGACTGACCGAGCCGACTGTCTCTACGGCTGGCTGGCTGGCTCGGAGTAAGCCAACCAGCCGGTCGACCAGCCAGCCACCTTCCTTCTCCTGCGTGTGTATCGCAGGTCGGGCTAGAGTTTACCTGGCGTTACCTGCCAGCCTGCAGCCTCAGTTCACTCACGTCACTTCGAGCAACCGGTTCGCGGAGTCCTCCCGGCCGCGCTCCTTAGACTTTAAAAGCCTTCTTCCCTTCCTCGAGCCTGCCTCCTTTTTTCCTTTGTACCCGCGTAACCGCCGCTCTTCTTCCTTGCCTCTGTCCTGTCGGGCCCTCTTTTCCTATTCCGTCGATTCTTATTCCATCGTCGTTCCTTCGTACTCGCGTGACGTTTTCATCCGACACGAAACGACACGTCGCCTCGTGGCGATCCGAGCACGAACACGGCCGTCGAAGCTGGGAAAATAAGTCGCGTCCACGGTTTTAGTTCAGAATCTTCGCACGCCAACACGGACGACTGGATTGTGGACGCTGAAATCGGGCAACAGTGAAATGTTGATGGAACTCGCCGAGCGGAAGATATCGGCGGTCAGTGAGAGAAGGGAGTCATCGAAGAAGAGGTCGTTACCAATGGCGATCGGTACCCGAGCGTCATCCTCTACCGACCATACGACCGCAGTTTGCTGGAATTATCTTCCCGCGGGCACCACGGAAATCGGTAATATACTTCCCTAACCTAACGTAGTTGATCGTTGATTCGGCTGCGTTGAAAAATTAAATTGTTAATACCGAGCCAGGATTCTGGGATCCTAAGATCTCGCGCATTCGATGGTTTCTCCTCGATGGTCCCTCCGGGTCTAAATCTCGCGTAGCGGTTCCCCGTTGAGAAAAATATCAATCGAGCGGCACACTTCACGAACCGACGCGAAGCGTCAATCGGGAACCTTTCCAAGTCCGGGGTCACGCGAGAGTTTCTGTATTTTGCGGAACGGGGTAAATGGATGTAAACGGGCCGTTTCGAAACCAGGTGGATCGCTGTTGGCTGCCGCGTACTTTTTCAATCGAGCCGCCACCACGGCGAACGATCGCTTACTCGTTCCCGCGGCCGCGGACTTAAATGTCGCGAGGTTTTTGTCGACAGTAACGAACGCCGGTGAAGTCTATTTCGTTCGGGCTCGCGAGGTGGCACGTTCGCGACGGTTTCTCTTTCTTGTGTACCCGAGATTTTCATCGGGTCACTGTCCTCGGTACGGTCACCGTTATTCTCCGGCATCGACCTCGTCACGAAAAACACCGCGGCGCTATTGCGCAACGGAGAATCGAAAGGATCGCGGGAAACGATTTTTTCCATGCCGAACGAGACACTTCTCCGGGATGGGGAAGAGTTGGACGATTCGAAACGTTGAATTTTCTAAGATAGATAACTTTCCTGATATGATTTTTACAAGACCTCTTTTTCGATCTATCGTTTTACGTGTATAAAAAAGATTTCGATATTTCATCAATCCCTAAGTAATACGCGAATCGTCGATCTTCGTGCATCGGCTAATGAAGAAATCGATAGCAACCGGTTATTAGCATACCGTCGCGCGTTAGCTTTCACGCGAGGCCATATCCTGGAATGCAGAGAGCAGCGATCTATCGATTTATCACCTCGTAAGAATTCACCCGCGTAACTCGACCGGGTACAATCCCTAAGAGCAGATCTATGTCATGATTTAATACGGTTTCGAAAGTCTCGCGGCTCGCTTGGTATTTTATTGTTTTCAGTTCTCTCCTCGATCGTCTCCCTTTTCCACGAATGCGTCTCGTTTCCGGATGTATCCACTTTTCGTGAAACTCTTTCGTCACGCCGTGCTAATTTTTTCTCTTATCGAGCGGACGGTACCGTTCTTTTCTTCCTCGAGCGTGACGCATCGCGATCGATAGGGCCTGATTAGATATCCAGAGGAAATTCGACGTTTTCTAGTTTTTCCGCGAATAAAATGAGCTACATTATCCGAGTATAAACGTTATAATAATTATATGTATACGAAAATGTATAATCTGGAATATTTGTACGAAACAACTTTCCATTTAACAAATAACGAAAGAAAAATTTGCCCACCTTTTATCCATTAGTTCGAAGCATGTATCCAGATAAGAAGTTCGCCCGGCTTTGGTGCACGCACAGCCTACGCGTGACCGGCGCGGCGTCGGTGTTCCCCAAAGATCGCAGGCCTCGAGGCGCGGCATCGAATTAATCTAGTCCCGGAATCGGCTGGTATCGTCGCGTTTTGTAAGCGTTACGCAACCGAGACAAACGGAAAATAACGACGATCGAGGAACGCTGTAGTTTCGACGAAGGTCGGTAAAGAAACGGACAAGAAGTACAATGCGATAAACGGCGCGCGTGACGACCGACGAAAAAACGCACGCTAACGCTACGCCTGTATATTCCACGTTATTACAGACGTCGGTGCCGCGGTTTTTCCTCGTAATCGCGTGCCATCGATTCGATTCGTGCGTCTATCGAGAAACGTGCTGGAACGCGCGGCAAATCGCGGCTCGCGAGCAGAGAAGCGCGCGAGTTTGAAACGAGAGGAGAATTTCTGATCGACGTTCGACCCATTTAAACGACACCGTGATGCGATAACCAACTATCGTACGTACAAGGAACTTGGCGGAAAATAGTTTACGTGGAAACTCTGGCGTGGCTCAGGGGACATCGTTTAATCCCTTGAACGCCGAGGACTCGAAGTTTAACGGTTACGGTCGCTGGGGTCCTAACTAGAGGATTAACGAATCTAAATATATGAATTAAATAAATATTGCGAAATAGTATGAAAAACAACGATAATTGCCCGTACATGCGCCCATAGCGCTCGAAGGGTGAAAATCTCGACTTCGATTCATCCCATTTCCAATCGCCAACCAGTTTCTTCGGTTTAACGATGTTCCTTCGTGCGTTTTTAGGTGTTTCGAATAAACGGCCCGTTCCCTCGTGGATGCAGGAACGATCGAGAAGCGAGAGGGAAGATCCTTCGTATCCACTCTGAAACGAGAATACTGGGTTAAGCGGTGGATTACGAGTTTGACGAGTGGTCGAACCTCCTGAAAAATTTTCTACGGCAAAACATCGACGGAAAGCCTCGATTCTCCTGGGAACGGGTCGAAAGATAGGGGTACGAAGTGAAACCGGCAGTTTTCTACACGAGCCCAGCGTATAACCAGTTTCGAACACGTATTTATTACAGCTTTTCCTTATTTGCTTTTAGCGACGGGAGCTAATCTTCATTATATACGGCGTCGAGGCCGAGAAACGTCGGTTTTGTCTCGGGCGTGTTTATACACGCTATGCGACGTAACGGATGTCCGGGCAAACGATATGCTAAACATCCGAGTAATTAGATCTCGAGTTTGAAGCAATCGTTGGAAGGCTTTCATCGATTTTGAAAAAAAGAAAATTATTCAGTTGTTGTTAATGTAAAATAAATGTCATCTCGAAGATGTCACTTTGCATGATACGTCGAAGAGAGACCCAAAGGCTAAAAAGCGTCGCAGAGTCTACGTGAAAATCGTCGATAACGCTCGCCCTGACACACTTGGACGCGGCTCCTTGGACGATAGCGCGTCTCCTGAAGTCAATAAAGATAATCTCCGCCGGTACTCCTACGCGTTTCGAGCAGAAACTGTTCCTCGAACCCGGCCGTCGTCGAGGTAATTACTCGTTTCGTTTAAGAACGAACAGAAAGGACATCGTCGAGAGACTGTTATTTCCATACCGCCTGTCTCGATGTTCGAATAAGTCGTGAGAACCGGAATGATAGCGCGACCGGAAGAGCGGCTTGAGAACCAAGGAGACTCGCAGATAATCGTCGAAGAATCGCAGGTATATACGGTGCACTGAGAAGATTCGAATCGTGAGAACCAGACGGGAAAACACGCCTGCTGGGTTCCCTTGCATACCAGACCTCGCCATCTTTACAATAAATCACTCGTCGCCGTTGCGCTGATTGAATTAATGCTTGTAAATTACGACGTACAGGAGCGAAGAAAATAAACTCGCGAGAGGATGTTCGATACGAAGCACAGGACGCTAGGAGTAATCTCGACTAATCTCGAAACGATGGAGACCCCCTGGATGGAGGTTCAGCTTTCAGAAGCTTTTACGCTTCTAGAAGTCTTTGTTGTATCGATCAAATCCTTCGTTACGCGACAAGTAATATTTTTGGTAGAGAATTTGGTAAAGATTTGGAATGAAACGCAGCGATATCGGTCTTGATAATATTCGAATAATATTCGTCTTGCTCGCGTAAACTTGAAATCTGTTTTGGAGCGAGGTAAATGGACCGACTGACCGATCGAAATCGTTCGGAGCAGTGACAGTGCGGTCTCGAGTTCGTTGGGCTCGGGAACGTGTAACCGTGAGAAATCGGTGGGACTCGTCGCGGAACAAAACGGCGAAGAAAATGAGAATCTCCGTGGCCGGGCTCTCTAGGAGGGAAAACACAAAGCCCGTCGAATCCGACGAACCGACGCGAACGATTCTCCGAGGATGAGAGTCAGCGAATCGAAAATCTCTAGGACGATAGAGGGGGCCCTGGATGGTGGGGAACCGAGCGGTGGGAAATCGGTGGAATCGAAGGACGAGCTTGGTGAACGCTCGGGGAAGAAATCGTGGCACTTGGCGGATCCAACAGACACGGCTTCCGGGAAGGGATCGTCGTTCCGTGACGGACCGGCAAGAAAAGGGAAAGAAACCGTCGACATACCCGAGACGTGAATTATCCTCGAAGAATTCGCTTCTTTTCGTCGCGTTCTTGCATACAGGTGCCCCGAGCTTCGATGATTTATAGCTCGAGAGACTCGGCCCGCGTGTGAATCGTTTCGTAAACGTTGATAATAATAAGTTGAAAGTAATTCAAGGAACTTCTGAAAGGTAAGTGACTCGAGTTTCCTTCGATCTACGAGTGGTCTCGGCCACGTTTCGGACGGAACAGAGAATAGGAGCATTGCCGAGGGATCGGTTGGACTTGGATTCTGTAAATGGCACTGGAAGAATTCACGGGGGATTCGAGAAACGGACCCGTGGAGCTCCCGTGTCATACACAGCGTCCGGTCGTGCAACGCGATAAGCCATCCCTTTTTTTCCATCGTGTTCCAGCGTTTCGAGCTCGAGTGGGTCGAATGGAATCGCTGTTATCGGTTCATAAACATCGAAACATTCGCGCAAAGGTCGAAGGTGGTCGGTGATTCGATTCGTGGCGCGCTTTTAGATACCGGAAATCGTGCGCGGACTTAGGTGTTTACGTAACCCGGTCGATCGCTGTAAAACACCGAAGAATCAGGCTACGGGCCGAAGATAAGAGATCGTTAACGTCTTGCTCGAACGTCGCCGCGTATTCTTCGACAGCTGGCAAGAACCACCGAATGAATTTTGTATCGGGAATCGGCGTCGACGGGAGGCCGTCCTGTGGCAAAACGCTTAATGGCCGAGCAAAAACCAGGAAGAACGCTTTTTAGCGATAACGTTTATGTTCATGCTTCGTTTCTCGCGAGCCACGACGCGGCGCGACGACCTGTGCACGTGGCGAGTGCACCGCAGCCTGGCAACAGGAATGGACGGAATCTCATCCGAACGATTAGCTAAATTAAACCGCCCTTTGGCATCCGTGGTTGCATTTTGGTTCGATAATAACACGACAACGTAAATCGTCGTCAATAGAACACAGTTTCAACAAAATAATAATAAATCGTTCTTTCGACCAAATAAGTAGTAAATGTAGTTGAAATACGAATAAATATGCCTCGGAATTTTTGCTGCTAAAGGTGCTCCTGTTCTATCATAAAAAAATCCAAAGTTTCAACCAGAATACCTCCGTAACGATTGGCGCACCATTAACCCTTTGCACTCGGTTGTCGCACATTTTGCAACACGATGGCGCAGAGTGCAAAGGGTTAAGAATCTTCGATTTGGAAGGTTGCGATTTCTTTCTTCGGTTGTCGTTCCAAGTTTTTATTTACATGAGAGTTTGTCCGTCTCCGCCTGGCAACAAGCGACCATCTCCGTCGCGGATGCGCGCACCACAGCCGAGGGACAAACGAGAGAGGCGCGTTTGTCGAGCGAAATGTCCATCCAGGAAGAGGAGGGGGCCCCCAGGGAGACACGGGGTACATACGCTCAACCGGAAATGCAGCCAGCGCGGCTAAAAGAAGAAAGTGTCGGAGAAAAAAGTCCCGCGACCAGGGGCCCTTCGGATCGATTCGTGCCGCGGCTCGGCCGCGATGCGCGGTACACCTGTCGCGTTGGTCACCAGGTAAATGCATTCTTCTTCCCGTTGTCGCCGAGAAAACCTAGAGAAACGTTCGGGGAATTCATTTAAATCCTGTTTCCCGTGTCATTCTACGGGGACGTTAATAGTGTGTTAACGCAAAAGGGTGTCAGCTGGATGACGGACAATTTTCGTTGGCTTGAAAACTATAATTTACGTCCAAGGGTAAAACTGAGAGAAAATTAGATCGCAGAGGGATTTATGTCTCATCGTCCTACTCGAACGACTGTCGACTAGGGCTCGTTTCGCGATGAATAACCCGCGTGTACTTGCCACGAGGCACCTTCGCTGCGGCCACGTCGTGTAAAATGGTTGTATGGTAACGATAGAACGTTAAGACGGTCTGTAAATGAATCTAAGCCGGTCGATAGGCGAACAGAAAACAACCGAGCCGTCCTATAAACGACGAATCACGGCACCAACGTTTGATTACCTGTTGCATCACACCTGTTGCCGTCCGAACTCGAACTACGCGGCGACACTGGCCGTGAAAAGATCTTCTCCATTGTCTCGACGCTCTATCGATCGCTCGGGCAGGCACAAACAACCGGAAACGTCGGTGTCAATGTATCCTAAAAGCAACAAACAATATATCACAAATGCGCCTCTAATTTACATACGCGTATACGCGGTATCATAGGGGTAACGCACGGAACGACGTTTAGAATGAAAATTGTTTCCATATCGCGAGACTAGGATCACGAACGTGGTTTCCGTTAACTGGAAAGCGGGCACCCGATGGATTCGTCGTCGACGATTATCGGTTCCCTTCGATTCTCCAACAGCAATTATGAGTTAACTTATCTGGTCATGCAGGCGTTTCCCCCACGGAATAACCGAGGTACTAACTCGCAGATAACTCAGTCCGGCTGTTAACTACATCGTCGATACGTCGCGAAATGGGAATGGTAGTTTGAAATGTATGACGCGGTACCGTTGCCAGGAGATTTGCAAGAAAAAAGAGCAATCTTTCCCGAACGCTCGTAAAAATAACCAAAAAGTGGCGCAATCTTCCACGTGACGGTAAATCTTCCACTCGTCTCGGTTTTCTCATAACTGTTCGCAAAGAAGGCGAGGTCATGGGAAAACGGACTCTGTTGCACAATTCAATTCTTTTCTTCCTCGAAAACAAAAGATGCGGTCTCGTCCGAATCGCGTGACGCGGTGTGTACATCTATACTAATATTATAAAGAGGTAAAATTTGCTTGTATGTACAGGGGGTAATCTCTGGAACTACCGAACCGATTCAAAACATTTTTTTAGTAATAAAAAGTTACGCTACACCCTAATAGGCTATATTTTATTTTAATAAAAATAAAGTCACGGTTCCTTCTAACAGTATTTACGCTGGTGCAGCTGGTTACTGTATAACCAAAGGGAGAGAACGAAAACGTCGAAGAAAAATTGACGACTTCTAGCGACGGATCTTTGACCCCTGGAAAACGAATATTCTCGATCCTCGATGTCGATAAAGCACCTTAGCGTTTGATCGTGCTCGCGTCCTCCCAGGAATCTCTCGATCTCATTGTTCGTGGCCAGCAGGGCAGAAAGCGACGCTTCCGGTTTCAAGTTGGCTTGCGCACGACGGACGGACAGGCCTGGTTGCATCCCGACCGGCCAGGTAAACACCTGCGCCATATTTCACGGGGAAAAAAAGGATCAAGGTCGTAGAGAAACGTTTCGTTCGGTTACCCGTTACGTGTACACTTATTCGTTTTCGTTGTAACGTTACGACGTCTTCCAGGCACTCGTCATTATGCAACCAAGTACCGTAATTGGAGACACGGATAAATCAAGAGAACGAGACAAAATTATGCTGTACAATGGTTCTTGGGCTCGGTACGTAAGTATGAAAACATAACTGCTTCGCGTTCTTGCAATTTCCAGTCCGATGAAATGGAATCGTACAGCGTCAATTATTTTTCCACAGACGTTATCCTCGCCGATGGAAAATTGTCATGGCACCGGAAGCGAATAACTAGCCGCGGAACCGGAAGTCGCCGTGGGACTGCTGGGAAACTTGAAAATATCGCGTACATCCTTCGCATCCCATGGGAACCGTCGCTCGACACGCACGCGAACGCTCGTGTGTTTTCCGTTGCGTGTATACGGTGGCCGAGCAGAGAAAGAATGATCGACCTCAGCGGTGCAGAAATCGCATCCCCTATATCTTCTTCTGCGTTATTAACCCGTGGCAACGAATTACTACGACTAAAATATCGACGATTTTGGGCGGCGCGTAAAAGCGTACGATATCGAACGTTAATGATTCGAGTTGGCTATTCATCGACTGTACGCGCCTATCCGCTTCCGAGTACGTGTGCGAGCCACGCATGGATACACCCACGGCACACCGATGCATAGTCACTTTTATGATTCACGAAAGTTATCTTTATGGTCAGGTGAGTAACGCGTAGACGCCTCGACAATGGGGAAAGGTGGACGGCAGATGAATCCTTCACCCTTTACAGAGATCGTTCCTTTCGAACACGCGCGGCAACATTTTGTCACGTACAAAACTAACGAGTCATTTGCGTGGCCTTTCACTGACGCAGTCACGGCAATTGATTGCGAAGCAACGGCGCGGCGTTATTATTTACCGACAACTGTAAACCCACATTCTTTACGCACACGTGGAAACATGCCTTATAAAAGTATTTAGTAGATGTAGACATTAATTCTGTGCATTTATATTTAATCACTTACTTAATCGTCATCTTGCGATGAGGAATATCTGTTTAAAATAGAGTTGTAAATTATCGATAACAGAGGCACAGAATTAAACCGTGAACCATGCGAGCATATGCGACCGTCGTGCGAAGCGTGGTTCGCTCAACTCGCGACGCTTTATTCAAATCAGTCTAACTAACGGGAATATTGTATTTATTTCTCTTTGCTGTTGTCTGTAAAACTGTTTACGTAGAAACCAGTTGAATCGAAAGCTTTATGGTTTTCAATGTACACGGTAGCTAAACGCGAGCCATGTCTCGATTTGTAAATAGGCAGAATTTGGCAGCTATTCCAGCGACGAGGAAAGGCTGCCCGATGCCAAAGATATTTATCCCGAAACGATCCAGAGTGGCTGCGTACACGAAAGAATCCTTGAGTAGGAAATCGCGAACGTCGCAGGTTAGCTTTGCCAGCTGAAAATAAATAATCATCCAGACTCGAGTTCGACGAAAGTCGGAATTTCTCAGTCGACGTACGCGTCTCTTCTAGACGCGAGGAAATCACGGGCTTGATTCGCATCCAGAAGCAGTGGGCGATCGCGGACGTCATTAGAAAACTTGCAACTTCCTCGTCAAGGCGTCCTTGAGATGCAAACGATATTTCTGAGATCAAAGAAAGGGCGGGGGGACCAATTGTCCGGTCTTCCGTCAGTGTCAATGCTGGGACAGTGAGTTATTCGCTGAATGGACGCCTGTGTTGTAGCATTTCCAGGTTTACGTGTTGGAAATATCAACACGAGTGCCAGACGAAAGCATCGAGACATTTGATATCGTAAGGAAGAACGATTATTACTTAATTCCACATATACGAGCAATTCTATTAATATTTTGTATTATATCGGCCAGTTTGCACGATCGCGAGGAAAATTTGATACGTCGGTTTTATGCATTCTTCCCAGGCCAGCTCGGGTATTATTCGTGGATCTCAAGACGTTAATCTTTAACCAGCAGCTGAAACGAATAAATATTTACTAAGTACATCGTTGACTTTCGAGTGGATAGGGCTTATGTCGCGAATGTTGGATGATCTCGCGTGGTGAAAACAAGATAACCGTGTCCGATTGATATATGACTGCGATCTGGTCATTGAAGTTCGGCCAGTAGAGAAAGAACGCGAGGACGTCGGCGACATTGGTACATGAACATCAACACGGTCGATGATGTAGCTATAATTATAGAAAAAGACAAATTTCTCAGGCTTGGACGAAATAAACGTTTATGCTACCGTTTCCCATGAAGAGCATCCCAAATGAGCGGATCGAGAAATAAGAATAGACTTTGGTTTATCTTTTTATTATATGCACAAGTTTTACTATTAACTCTTTGGGATTGGAACGTTTATTAAGAGGGCAACTAACGCTCCAGGAAATACACCGCGTTGCTATACGTAATTGAGGTTTCGAACTTGGCCACGAATGAGTCTGTGAAACTGATTCCCGGAAGCCATTATTTTCATTTTAACTGCTAATGATCGACCGCGCAAGACCGCGGCACGTCATCTTCTGGACACGATAATACGCTCGCTGGCAATTATGTTCGTTAATACGGTAGTGCGGCAAGCGCTATGCAAATCGCTCGTGATATTTCAGTCTAGAAAGTGTATAGTTCGTTCCTCGAGACTGGCAACCCAAATGTTAACGTTATAAACGCTATCTCCGTTCAAGGTAGAAACACAACTGGCAGATTTTAGGAAATATATGAACACGAGAAAGCAGACTGGATTCCACTGGATTCCATCGTGGAGACGGAGACTCAATAACGCGACACTTTTCACAAAGAATAATATCGATCGCGACGGCGGATCTCGATATCGCGAACGCATCGGTGGCATTATTATTAGAAACGTAAATATCAACTGGCATCATCGTTATTTATAGGTCTAGCATGTTATTCGTAACAAGAACCACAAATTCGTATCGCGTCCGCGATTATACGCCCCCTGCCTTGAGATTCCTTAAAGGGGTCCAACGTTAACCCTTAACCTCTTTGAATATTATTTAATTTCTTTAACGCACATCTGTTGAATCGTGTACTACCATAAACGTTATATTTCTTCTCGAAAGGAAATTTTATTCTCACAGAAATGTTCGCAAATATTCATGCGGCAATCAACGTGTTACAAGTGGCAATCTTGGACACGAACGATCGCGTTTCTCCGAACTCAGAGTGAAACGAACCACGGAAAAGCGTTTCAAAGAGTAAAAAGACTATGGGAGTTTTCACAGAGATCTGTGGCGCACGGTGGGCGTCGATGGGTGTCTTCCATCGTCACGTCATTGCACGTCAACGGCAAAACGCATCTGGACGACGGCCAAATTCAAAAATAAGCCGAAATTCGACGGATCCACCGATCATCCTCGACCACTTCGCGCTTTCGTGATCGCGTGAGTTATAATCCGATTTTCTCTGGTCAGCCTAAGAGGAGATTCCCAAATGGAAAGGCGATTGTTTAGGTAATCGTTGAAATTTTTATTCGATGAAACGCTTTGGAAATACATAAGCGAAATAGCGGGACAGTGTGTTATCCAAGTCGACGCGTTGAGGGTTGAACGATTTCTTACTAGGAATTTTATTGGACTTAGGGTTGCCATCGATACTAGGGTTTGCTATCTTGTGCGAATGTTGATGGTACTTTCCTTGGGACGAGTGACAAGTGAATATTTTTGTCTAAGTCGAACACGAAATATGATACATGAAATTTTCAGGAATATATATTCTTGGAAAATACAGATTTCAAAAAGACGATTTTTGTGACGTTCCTTATGGGAATTCCCCTTAACGCAAAGGTTAGACCGCGCAAGTCTAACGTTAGTACGAATTCCGGGAATCATTACTATTTCTGTGTCGTCCACTTGGCAAGCGACGACCACGTTGTCCTACGCTCTGTCTCATCCCTCCCCGAAATAAAAAGTACACCTCCCACAACAAAATAACGATATGACAAAGTTCCTTTAAAGATTGAGGCGACGCGTCATCGCCGACATCGCGATCGTAGAATTCTATTCGAAAACATGAGCAACGCTTTCAAGTAAACCGAGAATATTCGATTCTGAATAACAAACGACCCGCTGGAATGTTCCTGCTGGTAGCAGCATTTAACGAGGGATGAATTACCTAAACAGGTACGACAGGTTCAAACAATAGCAATATTTAATTGAAAGAAGTATATAAAGTATACAAGTGAAACACAATTTAAGCGTTGGATGTAAAAACTGAATACAAACGTTTAAAAATGGTCATTTGACCGATCGATAAAAATCGATGGAAACAACTCGCGCACGAACGAATTAAAACGACAGCGAGAAAGTTGTTTCGTTCGTGAATTTCGGGCGCAGAGATGGCCTCTCTATTTCAGGGTTGCTCCGAATAAAAAGTTTGGAAACCACTGATCTAACGGGTCCCCGATGACGACACGCTCGCGTTCGTTCCCCGTCGACCCGTATTTTTAAATCCCGTCTTTCATCCCGCGCCGAACCCGCGCGAATCTTCCGCGATCGCCGTCTATAAATCACTCGATCTCTCGCCGCCGCGGACCGGACTCGAGATGCTCTCGGTGAGAGTTTCTCCGCGGGAAAGAGAGAGAGAGAGAGAGAGAGGGAGAAGTGGGAGCGGCACCGCGGTGAAAAGGGATGGAAGGGGTCATGGGAAAGAGAGGGGGGAGAGATGAGAGAAGGATAGAGAGCGTTTGAGACCCCTCGGTGACCAGTTTAGTTCTGCTTGGCATTCGAACCGCACGGAGAGATCATGTGACAGAAGACACCGAGGATCCTAGCACCTCGATCCAGGATCTCAGACGCTTAACGGATAGAGATCGAATCGAGAGCTCGCTAAGGGACAACGGTGTGTTCGCGCGCGCGCGTGTGTGTGAATTTTGCGAAGGTTATCCCTTTTCGTGCACGCGCGTTCGTTAATAAAAAAAAGAACTGATAACCGATTATTCGGTGAAATCGTCACACCATTCACCAATTAATTCCCCTCCTAGCAACTCGAATCCAAAGAAAGCGAGAACGCGGTTTCCCTGCTGAGATTATCATCCAACTGCAAACTCCTTTTTTCTCCACGTCTCTCCGAATCCGAAGAAAGTAGGAAGTGCACAACCGCGGATAGCTCCCCGTAAAAGGCCGTCCAGGATATCGGCCAGCGAGTACCGCTCTCCTTTCCAGTCTTCCGCGGAACACATCACGGATGATCGCCCGTAAAGGCGTAGAGCTTCGGTCTCGACACGTCGCGCAACACGCGCGCTTCGTTTAAATCAACCGAGTGCGTCGCGCGTTTCTCGCAACATGGAAACTGTGTCTCTTCTCAAAAACGGATGATACTCTTTTTTCAAATAAATCAGTCCAGTGTTCCGAAAAAGAATAAGTCTCCGAAGGTGAACATCTTTCCAACGCAAAGTCGTCGAAGGGTAAACGCGTATTAGGCGATGTAAATCCACTTCCTCCGCTCGCGTTAACGAGTAAAGTGGTGTGGACCGTCGTGTGCGTTCGACTGTTCCGGCAGTGCACGCTTCGAATGACACACGTGAAACACGCGCATACATATACACTAGTAGCAGTGTGGAGCAGCGTCGAAGAGGGTCGTTGACAGCTGCGATAAATGTACCGGTACGTTCGAGCGTAGCGCCGCTTTTCAGACTTGGAGGTAAAAAGCATTCGCACCTGTCCACCCCATCCGTGGACCAACGTTTCGTTCATCCAATCGTGCTCGGATCGTCCCCGTGTTCGTTTGAAGCATAGGGTCGTCGAAAGGACCGCGGAGGGCAGATATGAGGTCGAGTGGTCCGCGCGCGATCTAAGAATACCGCGAGTGGAATCATTGAACCGGGAGCTTCCTTTCTTTCCACGTGTCGGCAGACAGAAAGAAATAAATCAGAAACTTTCTCTGAAACAGTCGGCCCCGGGCAGCGGTTTGTAAACTATGTCGGGAGACACCACGTCCGACGAGGAGGGATCGCAGGAGGACTCGCCGCGATACGACATCGACGATTTGGAGATTATCAAAACTATAGGTGAGCATTGTGCACAGTTTGCAGCACCTTTCGTTGGAAAGTAGCGTGAGGTTTCGAATCGATTCTCTCGATGTAGCTTTCTACTTGTCTCGAGCCTGATTCGAAATGGGGCTTAGAGACGCATCGGACGCCATTGTACGCGTTTGAAATTTTCTACTATGTAGAAATCGTATTTTTTTTTTATCATAATTTTAAATATATTGTTTATTACACTAACTAGATGATTTTATTCAACCAATGAAGAAATTCTTTCGTTAAACGTACATTGAAATTTTCCCGAGAAGGAGAAACGCGAGTAACTTTCGTTAATTAAAAAATACATGTACCAGCTTGGTTGCTACTTTTCTTTGATTCGGTGGAACGAACGGTCGCTTTCGAAGCGTTGCTCTCCCGAGGAAAACGTTAGAGATGAACTAAAGCAAACTACCCTCGAAGCGAGGAAGTGGGCCACTGGAGAGTGAGAGGCCACCGAGTGTATATTTAACTGCTCGTTAAGTCAGACTTACGCGAGAGACTCGATCAGTAAACTGCAGGTGTTCCGCTGGTGGTTTTTCAAACATTCCAAAGTCCCTTGCGAAATAATTATTTATGCGATTAATACGCTATCAATTAATAAAACGCGAATTTTCGTTCCGCGACAAGCTCTTCGTTCCTAATAAAAATAACTCGATAGATGCTACCGTGTCCATTCCAATTTTCGCTCAAAATTCGACACCTACCGCTGGCCTTCTGCTCGTCTCTGAGTAACGCACTATATTACCAGGACGGGTAAATAAATTCTCGGGGAACGTTAATTCTCTATCGTTCCATTTACTTCGATCGTGCTTAGATTAAAATCGCCCATAAAACAGCACGCGCGCTGGCGGAGAAGATCGATCAGAACAGATGTGCCAGACCGCTTCTTTCAGACGTAAAACAAGTTTTGGCTGGACACCAAAATCCTCTCGAGTGTCCATATGGAAAAAAAGCAACGTATCAAGGGGAACGTCTGGCTCTCGAAATTCGAACAGGAGTCTTCTGACCCGGATATTTATGAGCGAACAGAAATCGGTTGATCGATGTTTGCGAGAGGTGATGTTCGCAGTTTAAATAGTACAAGAAACTTTAGGGAAGAGAGTTATTTACAAATATCGTTGCTCGCGAATGGAAATTAGTTTATATTTTCAAAAAGAGTAAATTAATATTCTCTTTTCGTCGTCGATCGCGAGAAAACTTGCTTCGTGATTCTTGACTTTACGAACGAGTTGTAGCAATTACGTAAATTTCGCTTCCACCGCGTAACATTTAAAACCGCGCTTGCCGGAAGCCTCTTGTCGTTTTTATCATCGACACCTGTTCCCAGCTGTCACTGGCAGCCACCTCGATCGCTCCAAGGGGCAAACAACGCGGTTTCGCCCCTTATTCGCGCTCTGCCAACTTTGTCACGCATATAGTGGTAGCACTGTGCGCGAAACGGTGTTCCGACCGTGATAAAACGCGTCGCGCGAGGCAATTTGCCGGTTAATTTCGGCGACGCAGACCAGGCACCATTAATTGGTCGTGGTACGTTAGGCAGACCGACTTTTGGTCACTCGCGTACGTGGGAAAAGTATTTGCATTAATCAGACCGTGGAAAGCGCACGAATTACGGGGATAGAGAGAGCGTTGATAATTATGGATGGCTCGAGCGATGGATATCACGAGTGTAATCTTTTTTTTGCGTTGTCACCTTGAATCATAATGCGAGAACGGCTACCACTCGACGGTAGACGCATTTGTCGTCGTTTAATTTTACGGTTGGAAATCTTGACTATTAGCGAGTAATCGTTCACTTTGCGTAACGAATGGGTTCCTTAATTCCTTTAGACTCAATTTATTTCAGAGCTACCCAAAGATATCGCGATTGTAAAACGTTGGCATGGAACTCCAACATACGCTCAACTATTTTTCATTGCCTCTTTCGTTGATGTATTTTGATTCCGTAGATTAGTAGTTCCACAATAAATCGTCAAAAGTGATTATTACGAGACTTGGTTGCAGGTACGGGCACCTTTGGCAGAGTGGTCCTCTGCAGGCACCAAGGGTCCCCGATGGCCCTGAAGATTCTTTCTATGGTAGACGTGATCAGATTGAAGCAAGTGGAGCACGTGCGGAACGAAATCACAGTTCTGAAAGAAGTCAAGCATCCCTTCATCGTGAACATGTAAGCGATAATTACTTCATCTTTACTCCTGTCGAAGAATCTGTACGATCGTTTGAAGCAAAAGAACGTTCCTCCAGCCCGAGGAAGCGTACGTAGCGCGCGACGGTAGTTAATATGAAAGTTGTACGTTTGTCGGTCGAACGAAACAAATTGTGGAAAAGAAAGCGTAACTGAGGACGACGAAAGTGATGCTCGTTAGTCTGCCGTGAATGATTCGCGTCGCTAACGTCCAATTAGCGGTCGTTAGCAGGAGAAAATCAACAGGGGCGTTTCGAAGTTGTATTTCAGAGAAGAAAATTTATTACACCCATCGTATTTCTAGTTTCTCGTGGATTCTCTATCTTGTTACGTTGTATTTGATAAAATTCAGCATAGCGTGGGGCCTAGACGAACTGCCCTTGTCCAAAACCACCCTTCTGAACGCGTTTCCTTCTCCAGGCTCTGGAGCGGAAGGGACGAAGCGAGGGTGTACATGCTACTGGAATTCGTAGCGGGTGGCGAGCTTTTCTCCTACCTGAGGGCAGCTGGCAGATTTTCCGGGCCCACTAGCTGCTTCTACGCAGCCGAGATCGTTTGCGCTTTGGAGTACCTTCACAGCAAGCACATAGTTTACAGAGATCTCAAACCCGAGAATCTCTTGTTGGACAGCCAGGGCCATCTGAAAATCACCGACTTCGGATTCTCCAAGAAGCTCACGGACAGGTAATGCAACCACAGGACAGGACGCGCAGACGACTTCGATTTTTCAGTAGCCTTGCCACTTTGTCCCTCACCTAGCCACGTGCCTAGCCACGACACACTAACATTTACGGAACTGCAACAGTGTTTTATTTTTCTATGTACGAAGTAAACACGCGAATATTTTATTAACTCGTCATCGTTCACTTTGGCATTTGTAATCAGATTTGTACACGGTACCGTAAATAAGCGCGTTTGTTCTTTGAGCCAAGTATCGTCGCGATGCTATCCATTCTAAACGTCCTTCCTGGCCATACCTTCGTATCGACAACCGTGACACGGCTATTTAATTAGGTAGAAAAAGGCGCAATTAACTGCGTCCGATAAGCGTTTAGTATCTCGATCGAGTTAGATGACACTGCTGCGAACGGAAGCGTATTTCGAGGCGATTACATCGAACGATCGTCGTGGTTTTTAGGACGTGGACTCTGTGCGGCACGCCTGAATATTTGGCGCCCGAAATAATTCAGAGCAAAGGACACAACAAAGCGGTGGATTGGTGGGCGCTCGGGGTTCTGATCTACGAGATGCTGGCTGGTTTTCCGCCATTCTTCGACGACAATCCTTTCGGCATCTACGAGAAGATACTCAGCGGCAGGATAGAGTGGCCCAAACACATGGACCCCATTGCCAAGGATCTGATCAAGAAGCTCCTGGTCGCGGACAGGACGAAAAGACTGGGAAACATGAGACAAGGGGCTGACGATGTCAAGAGGCATCGTTGGTTCAAGCTGGTCGAGTGGCCATTGGTAAATAATTCATTTCTAACTGATGCAGGGCTGGCAAGATGTAGTTTGTAGAGGTGGAAAGCTTTGCAAAAATCGAGATAATTTATTAGAAATAAAAACATATAAATTTATTTGTTTGAATTTAATGTAAAAAAAAAAACATTATTTTCTGGTCGTACAATAGAAACAAACTAGAAATGCTAATGACATAATTGAAATTTGAATAGGTACCTCAGAGAGCTCTGACACCGCCGATAAGACCGAGAGTGAAAGCGCCGGGCGATCCAAGCTGTTTCGATGATTATCCTGAAACAGATTGGCGTTCGCAGCCTCCTCTGCCACCGGAACAGCTCGCTCTGTTTCAAGATTTCTAAGAGTAACATCGTGATTTTCTGTCTTTGCTGAGTAAATTATTTTGCGGAAGATCGCGAGCACAAAAATTAAATACACAATTCGTCGAGACTGCGTTAACCGGCGCCGTGATCTGTACAAAATCGCGCGTTAACGCGAGCTTTCTTTATCATTTTGTACATATTCGTTTTGTATTTCGTTCTGCATTATTTATTTGTACGTAGGATAGACGTCTTCGTTGTTTTGACGGTTCTTTTTTTCTCGTTTAAATCGTTGGTTCAACGAGACATTGTAAATATGGAAAAATTGCTCGAGTAGAAGGAGAAAAAATGGTCTTCGAAGCAACGATGGAAAAAAGTGACTCTAATGATATTCGCAACAACGTTTGGACCAGATGAAATATATTACGATAAATTGCTTCCGTATATAAGCACGATAAATTAAATATTCAATGTTATTTCCTGATATTGGTACCACTTGATACTGTCACGAAGACCACTTTGGTCATTACCGAGGACAAATTTCGTAGTTAAAAATTGTGCAAATCGATGGGCAGAACAGGGTTTCAGTCGAAGCGACACGGACCACGCGATGTTAAGTTAATTAACCGTTGCGTGGCCGCGTCGACGTATGTATGTTCCTTCTAATACGTAAGCGATACAGGGAAGTGTCGACAGAAATATATAATATAATTTTTTAAGAGGACACATGTAAAATATTGTAACAACGTGTATGTGATACAGATCGGATAATAATAATAATCGATACGTGCACTTTTTATTAAATTTCCAATCGTACAACTGGATCTAAATCACCGAAACCCATCGTTGAACGAAGCGTGCTACGCGCACGGCTGACAATCGACGTTCCTTTGTGCGGGTAGCGCGATATTATCGGCTGGCATATGCCTTTCGCCTATACGATTAATTTTGAAACAAGCCTGTGAATAATTTATACGAAAACTTCGCACGGAACCTTGGTTGACTTTCATAAAACGCAGCATTCCGTGCGAAAGCAACTCAGTAGGTTCACGAGAGTTAATTTGAAGCGTGTTACAGAAACTTTGTACACTTCTCGATGGTAAACAGTGTTTAACACTGACGATCGACGATGTCCAAGAGATTCCCCAAGACGCAGCAGCAGTTCGTCTACTACAACAACGCCAAGCCGAAGATTCGAAGACTCGATGGTTCGGAGGGCGTGGTACGAACAATCGGAAAAACTGTTAAAGTCGTTGACGCAAAATCCACCCACGCGATAGATCCTTCGGAGGATACCAAAAATATTCCAACGGTTCGAGACGTCGTGAACGACTTTTTGGCGAGCACTTCCGTACACGGCTTGCAATACTTTGGCAAACTCAGCATAAAAGTCGGGTTCTATGGGAAGATTATGTGGTTCTGCGCCATGCTCACCGGATTCGTATGTACGTGACTAAAAGTGTGCGAGATATTCAGGGCTTTGTGATTCATACTAGCAGGGACTTCAGGGTCCAAGTGTTGTTCGGATTGGACACTTTGAACCCCGAAGAAGCTGCAATGAAGGCTGTCAGAATCTACTACAATATTTCCCATGCGATATTCATATTTAAGAAAGCAACTACTATTTTATGTTTACATAAGAGGGTACACGTAGACGTCGAGAATTTTTTCCAAGATTTAAATACACGTTTCAATCCAAAGCAAAGAGTGATATTACAGTATAAATATTGAACCTAATATATATATATTTTTTTGTTGAAATATACTTAAAACAATTGTCGAGATACAGCAAATCTCCAGGAACGTGTTTTATTAGGCGACTGTCAAGGGTTTCGTTTCAGGTTTAAGCCTGATGGTGATACAATTCATGCAACGTTACGAAGAGGATCCGACGAACACGTACATAAAAGATTTCGACTATCCAATTTTCAAGATGCCGTTCCCAGCCGTTACCATTTGCCCTTTCTCGCCCATTTCGCTCCAAAGACGCTTGAAAATTATGGACGGCGCCATTTTGCCGGAAAACGTAACCAGAGAATTGGCGATGACTTTCTTAAAGTAGGTGTCGGTTGACGAAGCACTTAAACATGCGATTAATTAACGCGACGCAATTCGACGCAGATACGGCCATCACATAATGTTGCCCTACACTCCTGTAAAGAAGTACAAGCACATGGACAAGTTGCAAATGTTCCTGAAGGTGAACAAATGGACCGTGATGGATTTTGTGAAGAACCTGAAACCCTGCGAGGATGTGGTCGAAGCGTGTTGGTGGAGCAGCGAGCGAATCGATTGCAACAAGTTCATCAAGATCTCGCTCACTTTCTACGGATGCTGCTGCTCCTTCAATTATCTTCTCGAAGAATTCGTGGGACGCGAAAAGCAAGTGAATCAATGAAAATAGTTTATCGTTAAATTGTTTAGAAGGTAATCTTCATCGTTTTCTTTGAAACGTTCAGACAACAGCCGACCCCGAGGCCACTAGCCTCCGTCGATTTCGGTCGGAGGAGCGGACTGAAGCTAGTGATAAAGAAGGATGTCCTCAACGATGACGACATCGGCGAGAACGAACTTGATGAAGTAATTACTAACAACGATGGCGTTTTGGTAGGATAATTAAGAATATCTTGTGATAAATTAGAGAGGACTCGTACTCTCCATGTTTATTGAACAAATTTGTCCAAATTAAACGATAGACTCACTCGTAACATTGACATTCTCTGTTTCTCGAACAGGTGATCGTTCATCACAGCATGGAGTTTCCAGGATTCAACACCAATTCGTACGCCGTGCAGAAGCACCGCGAGATGCAGGTACCACGTTCGACTTGATTATCCGACGAGGAATAGGTTGTTTCTTGGATTTCTTTAAATATTTTAAAAAGCTCGTGATTCATTTGACGAAGCGTTTTTACCTCTAGGACCGTTTCATTGCAAAGATCGTTCACGTTGCATAATGTATCTACAGATCAGTATAAAGGGAGAGGTCATTATAAAGCCGGAAGGATTGGATCATCTCAACTCGGCAAACCAAAAGGTCCCTGTGTGCATCCCGGGAAACATAAATACCTTGGAATATTTTCCCACTTATCGGTACTTGAACTGCTACACGAATTGCAGAATAAAAATGATGATTGGCGTCTGCGGATGCTTGCCGTACATCTTCAACAACATAGCAGAGTATTACAAAATCAAAGTAAATTGATCAGAAACGCTATATATGTACAGGGTGTCTGTATATGTAGCTAAGACGATTCCGAATCAACCTCAGCTACCTCCCATTTCCGGTTTCTTACATTACTTCTGGGACACCCTGTATACATTTCAACCCTTTGTTTATAAATTCTCCTACAGGCTTAATTCTTCAATTGTAATTTTTTCGTTAACGGTGGACTATTTTTTTAAGTAACGAGCTATTACCGATCCTATCTAGTTTCTTAGTGTCAGGACCAATTTTAGCGTTGCGGCTTGAAGGGACTGATCTGCATTCAGGAGCACTCGAAAGAGATAAGTATCGTCAAGGACGTCATTATGCCAAATTTTACCTGCTCTTGTCGTGCACCGTGCCAAGAACAGGTTTACGACAGTTTTCCCAACTTGATGCACCTGACCAAAACCAACTCTTCGTCTAGCTAGTGAGTCGATGCTTCGTAAATCGATTATCGTATCGAATACTTTCGTTCTTAAAGGCCACGTTCCCCATCACTGACGACACGAGCTACGCGTTTGTTCCAGCACACATGTATCGGAAGAGAGCGCTGTTTTAAGGGTCTTCATGAATTCGCAAGTCTTTCAGATCACAGAAACGTTGCCAGCGGCCGACGAGGTGTATCTCTTAGGTAACGATTCGAAACAAGTGCGCTCTCATACGTTTACCTTCGACGAAACTATCTTTTATTGCAGAATTTTCGTATATTTTTATATTTCAGCGTCGATTGGAGGGATTTTTAGTCTGTTCCTCGGCTGTAGTTTCCTAAGCCTGGTCGAGATCGTTTATTTCGGTGGCTTGCTGTGTCGTGCAATTTTCTTACGGCCTAAAATCAAATCAACCTCGAAGAGGAAGCGAATCGTCCACGATAGTCACGTTGATCCTCCATCGTATAATTATTGATCGTTAGTAAGTATACGCAGACACGTGTATCACGGATCGATTAAACGTTTCGCTTTTCTCTTTCTTTGTGTCTTCAAACACCCTTTCTATCGCGGAATGGAACAGGGAAACGGGTCAGCTCTACGAATCGATGGCTTGGTTCGGGAGATCTATTGTGTAACGCCGCTGGCATACGTGGAGCACCAAGAATCTGGAGCAATTAGATCTATTTCGAGCGATTACTGGAACGCCGCGAACATGTTTACATCCACGACGGTAAAAATATTTACTACGGCCAGTTTCCGCTTTGAAGTTCGTCTGACGACGAATCGTGTTCCTGACGAGGAGACATTTAGTCGAAACCATTCGAGAGCTAGAGAGTAGTGGCTATGCCGATCCAACGAGCTAGCTTCGTCTCAGGTTTCAAAAAAAACTTAACTTCTTTATTAAAGGACTGCCACTGTAATGGTTACAATTAACTATCGCAAAAAGCAATCCCCTTTCAAACGTTACGCGACATTCGCTGAAAATATATTATTTTATCCGAAAAATTAAAATTTCAAATAAACGAAACTCAGTCGCAAAAAACAGTCGCGATACATGGAAAGCGGTCGAGAAACGTTTCTCCGCGGTATTTCTATTTATACGTAAAGATTCGTAATCGAATAAATCGGTAATTCGATCCTGGAGAAACAGCAACGGTCTACGGTTACGCAACGATCGAGGAGGATCCGTCGATCACGGCTTAGCGTGGCAATATATTCGGACAGCAGCGATGCTCATAACATCTATTTTCGGGAGTCCTATCGAAAATACCGATTTAGTTCTCTGTACGTCGACTGTTAGGCTGTACAACGCGAAGAGAGTTGGAAGCATCGGCTATTTTCGACTAAACGCCCACGTGTTTCTTACGCAGTTCGCGTAACAGAAGTGTTTTCGATCCCCGAAGTCGCTGGCTTTTTTTTCTTCTTTCTTTTCTTAGGTAAATCTTTCTCTGAAAATGTGTACGTCGTACTAAAACAGTAATAAAAGCGTGCGCAAAATTTCAAATTAAAATCTTGCATTCTTCCATCGGTAAAAAATATGTTTATAACAGCCCGACAGGCGCCATCGTTACTTCGCGAAACATTCACTCTCGAGTCGCGTAACGTTTCGTGTTTACGAGAAGCTTGTGTTTCTCTTTGATCGTCGAGTTTCTGGTAAAACGCCAGTACTTTTTGCCGATTTTATTAGAAACAAAGCTGCCACTTGGAAATCCAATTACCCTGGAATACATTTTGGTGGGAGCTAGGATTTGAAAGAAATGTACATTGTCCATGTCTTCGAGCAATCGATCCAACGCTTCTGATTATGTAAAAAGGTGACTTCGATATCCAATCGGCTGTCTCAAGCAGAACGAAACACATACTAGCAACGATGATACTTTTCGAACAGTCCCATTTTCCGAACCTCGTTCCATCACTCCGTTTCGATACAATGCGACGTATATGGACTTACATTTTGCTTTTCGCGCGAACAGAACAAAATCGAGAGAATAGAATAAAATCGAGCGTGGCATCGCAGACCAATCGAGGTTGGCGGGCTGTCGAGGTGTTCCCTTCTTGCTTCGACCCTGAAATCAACAAAAACAACCACATTTTACGGCAATGTTCACTCCACATAGTGCGCAGAGTACATTTTTAGGAAGATTAGGAATTGCGTTCCGGGACCCTTTCGCGATTAATCCGTGACTGCGCGTGCCAGAAATCATCTTTGTCGCGGAGATTTCAATGATCACGACCTATAAGAAGCACTACCGTGCCGCAAATCTCTAGGAACGGACGTAACCATATATTTGTTTCTCATTTCGAAAACTGCCACGCAATTCCAAAAAAATTGAACATTTTTAATATTTATTATTACGTACGGAATGATAAACTCACCATGCTGAGGTACACCGAAGTTAAAACAATCCTGCGTACAGTAACCAGAGGCAAATCAACAGAAGTATGAGTATGAAGTACGTGGTGAGGATGTTCTTCGTTTCGTGGGCTGGCAGTGGCATTTTTCGGTGTTCACTGGAAGTTCACGGCACTGGGGAGGATAAAAAGCATTCGTTTGCGTTCGCGTGTCGACCAAGTTCACCTCGACTCTACTCTCTATACCAATATAATATTCTCCTCATTGTACGAAATGGATGCCACGATGGCTACTTACGGAGGATTATCGGTCGCTCGACGATAATCTTTGTTCTTGGACGACGAATTCGTCAACGAAACTTGTTAATGCTTTTTATCGATTGGCTGTTTAGTCGACTTTAAACTGTGGAGAGCCGTGGAAAGTTTACTGGAAACGAACGAATCGAAATCGAGCCGAAGGAATAACAAAGCACCGCGTCACTTTGCGTTCGATCTCCGACTGGATCGCTCTACGCAGGATCAGCGATGATCCCGAAATTCCTCCAGGAACCGTGGTTAGATCCCCACCAGCTCTTTCGCGGACAATATATTGCACCTTCCCTTGTAACTTCTGCTCCAGGATTGGTAGCCCAGGTCCCACCACCGACTGTTGATGCGAAACCAACGTGTTCTCTGCCACCTCGGGTTATATTAAGCACACGTGAATATATTGGATATAGCTTCGGTGGAAAAAGCTCCGGATCGATTCGCGATCGCCGTCGATGCAAGGGCGGATATCGACTCAAGGCCTTCCGGATCACCTGACGCTAGAAACGACGCCGTAAGTTTCCTCGAGGAGAGCAAAGTAGCGCTTGTATATTAACTCTTTCGTCGCAACTGTTTCCTACAATTCTATACGTTTCTTTTTTAGAAATTAATTATATTAAACTGTGATTGGTTATAAATCAAAGGTTAAGAGGGAATGGACAATTAGATATTATTATTACGTACGTATTTTCAATCTAAAAAACAGAGTCGCGCGTGCTTCGTATTTCTATACTTGTTAAAACACAGTTAAATGTTTTGATTTTTATGAGAGAACACTCTCGATACGTTAAATTAGACTGCGTTAAGGAAGTGGTCGCAAAATATTAGTCCCTGCATATTTTTTATAGAGGGGAAAGACATTCTGTTCGAAAGATTTCAGTTATTTGGTTATATAATCACTTTTGAATCTAAACTACGCGCTTTTACGGAACAATAAATGGTATCGCCATCTCGCGGTGAATAGGTGGAACTAAAATCCCGACCTCCGTACAGCGCACCACCGGGAAAACGCCTAAGCTTGTCCTCGAATAGTTCCTCTTTTTGACGCTAGATGGCGCCGTTTACGTGGTAATTTACCGACATTATGGTAATATATCGACAAGTCGGTAAATCGCGACGTAAATGGCGCCATCTAGCGTTACGAAAAGGAACTATTCGAGGACAAGCTTGGGCGTTTTCCCGGTGGTGCGCTGTACGGAGGTCGGGATTTTAGTTCCACCTATTCACCGCGAGATGGCTATTAAATTGAATGAAAATCGCGCGTAATTTGAACTGAGTATTTCTTCTTTTTATGTATACCCTTTGATATCTTTTCATTAAAAACGTACCTACAAAAGTTGAATTAAAATAGAAATTTATTTTTACAAAAAAATCGTTATATTCATTGAAATAATTTATTACACAGTACATAGTAATCTAATAATAAATTATTTAATACATGATTGCATATTACAACTATAGATACAAATGATGACATGCGGTATGGAAGCATCGTTCGTTGCGCGTGTTGAACGTAGAGCTGCGTTCCACTAGAGATAGGCAACACTCTCAGCCGGATAAAAAGTTATTTTTTATTATTGAAATAAAAGAAATTGGATAATCCAACGTATTCAATCGCGAGTAAACTTATTTGTAACTTATATTTGAGCGAACAGATCAATGTCTGGTTATCCTTTACGTATTATTTCATTTTACAATTCAAGTACTGCCGTTTGTGTAACAATTAATAGACAAGCAATTAATTATCGTTCATTCGTTATTCGACATTTTTATTTAGATAAGAATTATTCTCTATCTCTTGATACTCCGTTCTCCTTCTCCGTTAATCGTTTTCCCCTTATTACTGATCCGTGAGCTGTCGACGAAATCATTGTACGTCGAATCAGCGTATTCTAATAATATTAATAACATCTAGCAGAGAATTAACGATAAACAATCATCGTCGATTCAACGTACAAGAACCGCAAATGTATTGTAGGTAGAAAGAAAGATTAATCCTGCGAGGAATAGCAAGTTTACAATTAAAAAAAACTATTCGACCCTACCCACGTTTCACCTAACGATGATACCACCTTATTCCCAGCTCAGGATCGATCTTCCTATCTCTGATACCAAGCGAAGGCTCGTTGTTCCTTACAGTAGTGGACTTAATGCGCGAGATTTTAATCGAGGACGTACGGAAGATATGAAACGAATCCCAGATCGTTAACAGATGGTCTAATGACGTTTTAAACGGTTGTCTTTGATAAGTGGCGCGGCACGAACACGAGTGGCAGAGTCAGAGCCTCTTTTGGGCGCCGCGCACGGATCCCGTCTATGAAATAACCAAGTGAAGTAAATCGAGGTGAAGGGTCCCGCAACACGGCTAACGGTACATTATACTCATCGGAATTCATGGTACGGTCCATTCGTACCGCGACTGCACGTCCATCCTGTTTGTCGGTACCATTCCGACGACGAGCTTCCAGAGTCCGGTTCCGAGAAGCATAAGCGGGCCAGTGGCGTGTCCCGCGAGTGACTAGGCTACCTCGAACAACATAACGAGTATGATCTTGTCTTCTGACGTTCTATATTTCCCTCTCAACGGATATTCATGAAATAAGTTGAATAAGATAACAGACAAAAAATTCGTGCAGGACATGGTGCGTTTCGAAAGTAATTACTCAAGAATAATAAGGCGCGGAGTGAATGATACGATCCGCAAAGAAAAAAAAAAAAAAAAAGAAACATTCAAGAAATATGTGGGGCTCACCATGTGGCATGTCCCACAAAGAATTGCTTTGGACCGTGGGGCGCAGCATGCGGTGCGTTCCGCACATAATTATCAAAAAAAAAAAAAATGAAGCGGGCACCCTGCGGTGCGTTTTGTTAAGTATTACTTGATAAATACAAAAGAAGAACGTAATATGCCAAGAAAAACAAAGATAAGTGCCATATGTTGCATCCCACTGCAACTCGCGGTATTAAGTACCTATGATCGCACCGCACGTTGCGTTTCACAATTTACGGAGATGAATAATGATAATAAAGAACTGGATTCCTATGCTATATATTCCCGACACTTGAAAATTACCGGTGTTGTAAATATAATCGAGCAATAAGGAAAAGCATCGATGAAAGGACGAATAAAGTACGAACACGTTAAAAACAATCGTGCAGCGATGGAGAATCGAAGAACCCATTAACGTTTCCGGGCTGGTTGCAACTCTGATAGAGCCGAATGATATAACTTTACGATGCCTCTGGAAAGAATAACTTGTACGATGCATTCCGTGGAACGCTGTTACGAGGCAGCCTGTACCACCAGCTCGAAACCGGCTCGCGAGGCAGGTCTAACGAACTCGATCGAATTCCGAGACCGGATTCCGCGAAACGATCGCCTCCGTCCTGATACGTGCGTTTTTTTTTTTCACGCTGAAATAATCTCTTCGAGCCCTTTTCACCTGAAATTGACGAAACTAACGAGAGAACGGTATGGACACGCGATGCGGCACGTTTAGAGAGCGCGCCAAGTTATATCGTATCGTGTAAGAGCTTTTCTGTCGGAAACGGTACTATTTGCCCTGCAAAATTCAACGGCACGCGGATCAGCGAATTTTACATTCCAACGAACGATGGTAGCGACTTATTCGTCGGGACGCGAAACACTGGAATCCCCGGGTAATCGAAACGAAATCGGGTTTCAATTGACCGGGAAGGGTCGAAATTTCAATGTCAAAGGTAAAAAGCGGCTCACCTTCCGTCGCGGAAGGAAATCGAACGATCTCGCGGGAAGGAAAATCGTCCATTTTCTCGATTTCTCCCGAGAAATCATTTTCTAGCAACTTGAATACTGGTCTCTCGACGGCGATGGGCTAGCTCCGTCAAAGAGGTTACTAGGTCCCGGCGGCGAGGTTCTTAGAGCACGAGGATTCACCTTCCTGAGCGACAAGTCGCGCTCGACGCGACGTTGGACGCTGGCTCTCGAGAGTTGCCCGCCTTTGGAAATGCTCGCGACGCCAGACCAGCTCTGGAGGGTTCGATGAACGTTTAAAAGCTCGGAACGGCCGGTGGCTCCGACGAGGCGCTTGCCGAATTCCTCGGTTTGCAGACGCAACCGCTCTCGACGAGAACGTAATCCTGACCGGTCAAGGTCACTGGACCGAGAGGAATCACTAGAAACAGGTACGGCACGTACGTCTGCGTGCATTCACCGTGGACCACGTCGCACTCTTTCGACCTGAAACAATTCGGCAATGTCTCTATACGTTCACCCGTGAATACGTTGACTATTGGGTTGTCATGAAACAAACAGTGCAAACAGCGACCCGATAAACGGTTCAAAAGTAGGCTCGTCCTCGGTCACGAACTCGACATTGTAGACCAGTTCGTTCCACTGTGCCACATTCGAATCGCCGCGACCACCCGCCGATAAGCCTCGATGAATTTCGAATTTGAATCGCCTCGCTCACGTTCGCGGATCACGACACGACGTGCTAAGAAAGTAACAGTGGATAAGGATCGGAGACCTGTGCATCTGGTATGCGCGGTTCGGAGACACGCGAGCGAGTTTTCGAAGCGACGTATAGAGGAACTGGTACGAGGAGCAGAGTTGTAAGAAATACAAAAACTTTTGTAATGCATTTCTAGAAAAATAGTCCATTACAAAAGTAATGGATAACGGGCGACTGGTCCATTTCAAATTAAAAATGATAACGATGAAATGCATCGTTAAAATTATTAGTTGTTATACGAGGAGTACTTACTCGCAAACCTCGAAGACGACCTGCTGCAAAAGATCTGGGAATTTTTGCACGATCGTCACTGGTTGACCACTGGTTAAGCTGACCCCGTACATGGGCGCCGTAGTGTTGTACCTCGTTTTGCATAATCTGGCTGGAGAACCGCACGATTCTCTCGGTGAAAATGCTCGTCCTACGGACAAAAATAATTGTTTTCTTCGAGTAAACAATTATTCGTCTTCCAGATGTGTGTTTTTCATTTCCCAACGCGTTACTGTATGGTGTACATACTAGATTGACCTGTGATGGTTCCTCGACGTTAATGATATACCATAGAAGGGGCATGTAATCAAAGACTGCGGAAATATGGTCATCACGCTAAACGGCGCACCATGTGTGCTCGTCTAGACAAATTACGACATCGTCCAGAGTAATAATATGCAAATTTTTACCTTCGTTCTCCATCGTAATTATGTTCTACTCGCACTAAACAGTGTCTTCCCATCTGCATAAATGAATAAATAAATTCTAACAGTATCGACGACCCGAGAGAGCATGATTCCTCGGTTAGAGCCATGCGGGAACGTCGAAGGAACGCGGATGAAAAAATTCCCAGCGGTCATCGGTCGAAAATTTGAATTCACGGCAGGGATTTCTATGAATGAAAGGAATCGGGTAATTCGTTCGCGATATCGGTGCCCTTTCTTTGGAATTCCGTCGACTGGTGTGTTCGAAACGATGAGTGGGTCGCCAGCGGGTCCCGTTACGAGCAGAACGGAGCGATAACTGTATTGGCCGGATAACACGGTGCCTTATTACCGTCCTCCTGCATCAGCGGACCCATTAATCCATAGTATCCGCAGTGGGACAGATTTTTTCCAGATTTTTTCCATCAAAATTCGAGTAACCGATTTATCAATTATACGTTGCGTATTTCATTTATTTTCTAGTCAAAATGAAATTTCTTTTTTATTTTAATTAGACGAGAACTTTAGGATTCACTTTGTCTCGAACCCGACGAAGAATACAACGTTCTACCGTCGATGGATTCATTTTTTCGCGGCTAACGAGTCTCTAATGGCGCGAGAATCAAAGGTCACGCGTCGACCGAGCAGGAACACGCGCGGCGGGTGTTGTGGTTGTTTCGAACCAGGTTTTCGTGTCATAAGGACAGTCGCGTAAGTCAAGGCTGCGAGGTCCTGGTACAACGCGCAACCGGTTGTTCCGATTTTTGTAGATTTTCGAACGCGTCCTGCGTGAACGAGCTCGGAATCGAACGACGAGTCCTTCCGCGAATTGACGACTCAGTTTACACCAGTGGCGCGCAACCTTCGTCGCGACTGGACTCAAAAATCGATAGTCCATACGTTGAAAAAACGAAAGTTGCCGTAGCTGACACTTTTTGTTTCGGTAGTAGGTGCTTAGGGAAAGCGCTACGAAAGTAGGCGACACTGCGTGCTTGCGGAACCAACTTTTTACTTTCCGACCTATAAGGAAGGAAAGCATTGCGATCCGTAAAACATTCTTTTTCTGGTTAAACGCGTTTTCAAGCCCCCTGATCGTATTTCGTTAAATATTATCCGTTAACGAATCTTGTTCTATCCGAATTGCACAATTAGTGGTTGATAGTTTAATTAATATTCTGACCACCCCGGGTGTGAACTAGCACAGCGCTGAATTCGTTGGAGAAACCCGGTGACGCATAAATGTTTTATGGAACAAGAGCACTTTACAGTCGCCCGATCGACGAGGGAACCACATCAAGTGGCACGAATCGAATTTGAATGAACCTTCGAAGATATATCGGTAAAGCTACAGACGATGTCCCTCTATAGAATTCAGATTAAGTTTCGATACGTCTATAGATTGGTATTAAAAGCTAGCAAGGTGGTACGTTTTATCTTTATCGCCGAATAACTCCCGAGCTATCGAGATTCTACTCTATAGCGAGTGCAATAATTTTCGGTCCTCTATCCAGCTTGAATGTTTCATTGAGATCAGGTGTGTAACACTTTACGCGGTTCTCTCGTTAATGTCTGAGCAACGGTATCACCGCGAAACATTCGCACGGCAGCAAATCCGCGGGAAACTGCATACTTCTTCTAAAAGCGCCAAGTCCCCAAGAACGTTCGCGAGGGAAACAGCCAGAGCATGAGAGCAGAATGTTTGCATATTACCAGCCACGGTACAATAACCTTATAACGCGCGCGTGAACGCGCATCGTCTCGATAATATCCCGCAGGAGCGACTGCGATAATTATAAATTAATAGCCGCCATCGCTGGTGTTTGCGAGCTGCAGCAACCGAGGGCACCAAACGAGTACGGGTACAAGATATTTATGTGTGTGTGCACGAAATTCTATTCGAGCAAAATAGCGAACGCGGAACGCGTAAAACAAATTGCGAAGGTTCGACAAGGGTGCGGGCCAAGGGAGTAAAATATTTTTCGCTCGTGGATCGAATAGAATGAAAATATTGTTCTTCGCGTACACGTAGACGCGATTCTCTCCAAGCGAAAAAACCGTTTCGATGGATTCATCGTATCAGACTTTCGAACTGTTCTCGAAAGAAGAGACCACTTGGTCGCTCATTAAAATTGTTTTCGCGAAGAACTTACCGTTTCGAGAGTTCTCTGCGATCGAGTAGCCGCCGTGAACAGCCTTGTAATTGTGCAGAAGTGCCTGCCTCGTCAGCTCGGGGTCGATCGTTCGTGGCTGATGAGACCTCGCCGTTCGACTGCTCGCCCACAGGTTCTTGTAACTTCTCGATATCGCGGCTCTACGACATTTTTTCGTTTATCGGAACGGTACATCGAGGAAATCGGAAAGGGAGCTGCCTCGAATTTCAGCGGACGCCCTTACAAGGGGACACTTACGACGGATACTGCATGTTATTCGGGCCTACGCAGTCCATTGGGTCCGTCAGCGCGTCACCCCACACGTACTTCAGGCCCAGACCGTTCCCCTCGCATGTTTTGGCTCCGTAGACGTGGCTACACGTCGTGATAACGAGAATCAGGCCGAGGTACCTGGACATCTGGAATTGGAATTCAAATATTATTTTTACTCCGGATTATTGTTACCAATCTGAATGAGAATTTTGCCCATACCCGATGGAGCAGCCTGTACATCGCGAGAGGAATGTACGGGAAAGAATCGTTTCACGTATCGGGAACCTCTTCGTGGATGAGTATTAATGAGAAACTAATTACGTTCGGGAGCACGAACGGGTGCTCATGAATAAAACAATCACAGCTGGCTCTGGACTTGGATCACGGCTACGAGGAAACACGTTGTCGCGATGGAGATAGTAAGGTGGGACGTACTCGAATAATTTAGCATTCGAGTACCGAGAGTAAATTCAAGTATATTCTTTAATTTAAGAGATTTACAATTTGTTTGCGATGTCAATTCGATATTTTCAAACGAATATAATGCAAGTATGAAACAAAAATTCGCTGAGGCCCACCGCTATATCGACAATAGTGCGAACGAGCGCGAGGTCTTGGACCTCGGGAGTTCGCGCAAGGTCAAGAGCAAAAGCAAATGACACTGAATGGACTTGGTGTGACTCGCCGTGTAAAAATTCATCGTAACCGCGCACGCGTATCGTGCCGTCTATTTTTACCTTCGGCTCCGCGCACTGCTTTCAAAAAAAGTCGTTCATACCGCCATGAATGCGTAAACGCGCGTCGACTTCCGATTGGCAGAACGAGGTTGGACGCCAGAGCTGATTGGCGATTACTTCAGCGCGCTTGCGATAGTACGGACAAGTTTTTTTAAAATCAACCCAGATCTTTCGCCAGCGACAACTGCACGCGTTTCTTTAGATTTGCATTTCTTGCTTCCTTGATTTTTAACGTAGCACGTAAAAAAATCGATAGATAATATCGAGCTTTCGTGATCAATAGCAGCCAACGATTTAAGAGTTCTGTTCACGCAATTTTGCGGACGTTCAACGAATCGACTCTGAATCCTCCCGTTATCGTTTCCCTCGGTCCGTGACTTCGTTTCACGGAACGCTGACACTCTGGCATCTCCACTGTCAGAAAACGAGTAAGTAAAGCATTTTTTCCCTTTCGAGCCTCCCGAGCGACAAAGTCAGTCGAAAAAGTGCGAAAGAGTGACGGGATCGAATTAGGAGTGACGATTAGTCGAGCGTAATCGATATCGATCCCATGTAAGTATAACGTTCGGGGTTTCTGGGTTGCCGGGTCCGCGGAACTTCCGTTATGCGCGTTCGTCGACGATTCACCACGAGTGAAAGCATGCTTGCGCATCGAATTAGGCATGCTCGAGTCTGAATCGATTTCTAGAAAATCTTCTCGAAACGATTGGCGATACAAATGTGCTCGCATACTCTTATTTCGAGCTTTGCGGTCTTTTAACCGGGGTGGTGCTCGAGGATTCGAAGCCAAGAGAGGTCAGTCTGGCAGAAAATCGTGACGTCCTGGCAAAGACGATGAATCGCGCGTGGGAAAAGGAAAGGAAGGAAATCGTTAATGGGTAAGCACTCAAGGCTGGTCATTGGCCGTGACCGGTGTCGCGTATCTGTTTCTTCAGGAAGTCTGCGCCGCTCGCAGCGTTAATTCTCGTCACTGATTCGTTCGCACATCTTCATCCTGAAATTGCATGTCGCGATGAAAATGCGTCGTGGACGAGGAAAGCTATCCTTTGTAACTAAAACGTGGCAATAGATCCTCTGGAGGAATTTATACAATTGCTGTTTTAACGTTGATAGTTTTAGTCGCGTCACGAAATTCCTTATTTAACGTCTTCTAATATCTAATATAAATTATCCAATCAATCTTCTTTCGTCAAGATCGTTGCATTCGATTCGCAAAGCATGGAGTTGAACGCGTTTAGATCGGGTTAGACGTGGCGCAGCGTGTAATTATCGATCCGACATCGATCGCAGAATAAATGCGGTTGGATAAATATATACGGGTTATCCGTCTATCAAAGGATTGCATAACGGTTATCTCACAGACAAACAAGACTTACGCCTGAGGCCTTGATCGAAGGGGATCCCCTGAATCAACGTTTATAAACGAATAGAAATGCGGTTTATTTTTAAACGTTTGCTGCTTTTTTAACAATTTCATCTTGGGCTTCGTTAAAATATAATGCGCCACTGATCCCAAGCGAGCGAAGACGAGACGTATGTGAGAATCGCTTGAACTTGAAGAGATCGAGGTGAACTTCCACGGTTTGCCGCATCCGTGGGTAATTGTAGCATGGAGATGAACAATTGTTCGCGACCACAGCTATTTCTCACGTCGTTGGGAGCTCATTCCCCCAGCAGCCGGAGTACTGTTAATCTGCTAACAAACTGCGCCAGGAACAATTAACAGGTTGTTCGCTATCTTTGATCAGGGCAACGATTTCCTAACTGGAGCTGCGTGGAAGCTTCTCCAAGGACGAGGGAGGAGCGAGGGGACACGGCCTTCCTCGTTTATTTACAACAGAATCGGTCCCGCTCTTTTACGTGTATAAAGTTTAATTGATAGCAGACCTTGTGAGAGAATATGACCTCTTATTATAAATTAAACCCGGTACACGAAGAGCGAGGTGCATTGTATCTTTGCGCGGGAAGCAACTGGCATTGTTAATCGTTTAGAAAATTTGTTTCAGCCATCGGGTAAGCTCACCGAACCGCGCTAACTGGTAGAAACACTCGAGAAAAAAAGTGTACTTCCGGAAGCGATGAGCAGATTCCACCGTGGACCATAAGCGAGTCGCGCGGTCGGTTCTAACGGTAAAGATGAATCGTCGAAAACGTTCTTTCCTCTCGCGTTGGTCGGCCTTTATCGGGCGTACGTTTATTCATCCTTGTCCTCGATAACGGTACAGCCATTTCGGTGCTTCGTTTCATGAATAAATTATTCTAACTGTCAGCGTCTTGTTACGGAGTTCGAAATTCCTTTTGGCTTCGATCCCGGTCTCCGTTTCGCAGAAACGTCCTCGTCAGAGGTTCGTTAACACCTTACCATCCATCACCTGACCCTGTCACGAGCGAACGCTATCGAGTATTAACCCTCTCGATGTTCGCAAGGGAAAGCTGCACACCATGGCCTGAACTTTCTATTCATTTCAAAACGGAAAGGGGAACAGGAACACGTGCGTAGGTTAAAGAAAATTATTACAGACATTATTAAATTTCTCGGGGCTGCGAGAAATTTTCTGCAAGAACTGGAATTTCGGAAACGTTTGAGACATTGTCTTGCCTATAAATTCGGAGAATCCTCGGGCAACTCCCTTGAATGATAAACCTTCGAAGAATATCACCTCCCGTACCACTCTAACTCGACTACAATAATCATTTTCGAGATGCACCGCTGCATCCTCGTACCTGCTCGGAATCTTTCCCACCTGTAATCTCAATTTTCTCGACCTTCAAAGATTTATGCGCGCACTCTCCATCGCACGTGGCGCTCGTTCATCTACACGGATGAATTCAAACCAGAGACGGACAAAATTCTAATCTAGATACGAATCTTGAACAACTCGGGAGCTGTAACAGGTACATTTCATTCGTTTGTTATTCGAGGAAATGGTTGTTCAGCTCTGGTTAAAATTTTAGCACAACTATTTTCCTCTTGCTGCGTTAGATGCGCGTCGAAAATTTCTAATTGGTACCTGACCGCGAGGTTTAATTTTCCGGGTGCTTAATTTATCTCTCGAGTCTAATCGAGATCAGGGACCCCATGCAAACAGTAATTTCTTAAATGGTCAATGCGAACCTGATGAATCTTAAGCTTTTTTAGGGTTGCCACGAAAATTAGCGATCGAGATTTAGTACAGAGTTACCGAAGACTCACCGTCATTCACCGTGATGAAGATCAAGTCTAACACTGGAGCGTCTGAAACCTTTTCTCGGCCCGTTCGACGATTATGCGATCGACTATGCGTTGCATTAATCGATCGAAAGGTTCGATGAGTGGAAAGGGACAGGATCGAAACCAGGGCACCACGAGTCTTCTTAAACACTGTTCATGTCACTACACCGGATGTCGTGGGGTCGAACACCTCCTCCGTCCTCACAGGTGGATGTCCAGAGGTTGACTGTAGAATCGTAAGTAACCGCTCTCTGTGCTTCGTCGGAGCTGGGGAGAAAGAGGGGATGGGAACGAGGAATATCGGCCCCTATTCCGCCACGAAATCGTTTTTTTTCTCTTGTTGGAGAAAAAGCTGAACGAAAGAGGGTAACCAGCTACGCCCCCCCCCCCTCCTCTTTCACCTGAGTTTCGTCAAAACTCCTCCTTCCATTCCAATCCAGATCACTGAACAACACCTCTCTGGGAATCGTTATACTTTTAAAAAATAAAATATCACTTAAAATAAGATGCAGGGAGAACAAAGGAATGGTACACAATCCATCTAGTTACATTATCTTTATACTTGTTCTTCGATAATGACAATATCGTACAAAGTATACGTTATTTTTAAATTAACAATGAAGGAATATAACAGATTTTTCATTTCGTATACACGAAATCTTACGCATTGGAATTATGACATACTTTTATTATCTTCTATACAGAGCTAGATGTTATCAATCATTGATTCGCGTGTCGGATGGGCGTCCATGATTTTTCGTAATTACTTGTAATTCGTACTAAAGTATACATTCGATAAATACAATGGCTTTCGAATAATGGCACTAATCAAAAGCCACTGTATTCGTGACCTTGGTACTAATTACAAGGCCGAGCACCCAGTATCGAGAATAATACTTGTAGAAAAGCCTCCTTCAACGGATCAAACGACTAAAAATAATGATTAACCAAGGGACATATTTTTTGCGAGCTTCAATGAATGTAGATGTTAATGATTATCTGTCAAACTTCCTATTTATTTTAGGAACGATAGATTTTCGAAGTCTTGTAATGGACATGTAAAAACGTAGTCTTGTAGATACTAAATATTTAAACGATACCCGCAAATGTTACGTAACGAAAACTGGCAGAATTAAAAACAAAACGTTGATGAAGTTTTCACTCGATTAACGCTAATTTACAAAGGACAAAATCAATCGTGTTTGACGATTGAGTAAACGTGTGTAAAATGTATATGTAAATGTTTAAATATTATTAGCCGCTACGTTAAGAAGTAAGATATAGACACGGTCACAAACCTTTAACCTTCAACCTTCAAGCTCAATCGTCAAACTTAATGGAATTGACGCTAGTATCTATTTGACCGCCGCGGTAGCTACCACGTTTTTTCTTCGTCTTTTCGTGTCGAAATGACTTTCCTCTCGTATGTTTCAGGTCTAGATTTGCTTTCTCTCCCCAAGAGCCACGTGCGCCTTTCTGTTGGACAAAATTTAAACTTTGCTTACTTGTCGTACTAACACTGACTTAGATTAATGTTTCTCAAACTTCACTTGTTCAGGATAACCGTTCTCGCAAACAGAGATTACGAACCGTTTACGTTAAGAAATACTTCTTCGATTTGAGAAACTCTGATCTAATCGGACCAATGTTTTCAGACCGAAGTACCCCTCATCTTTGTACATATTTTGTATCATCAATCGTCAAACGTTATTTTCTTATTTTGAGGTGACGCGTTATCGAATGATTTCTTTTTATCGAAACCGCCTCTGCCGCCCCGGAACCCACCCCCTCGACCGCCACCCCGTTCGCCATCTTTATTACCCCATGATCTCCTAAATCCGTCCGATTGACCCCCCTCGGTTTCATTTCCACCCCACGACTTTCTGTTGTCGAAACCACCTCTCCCGCGACCACCTCTATCGCCACCTCCACGGCCGCCTCTATCACCACCTCCACGACCGCCTCTATCACCGAAACCACGGCCACCCCTGAATCCACCGCGTCCTCCTCTATCACCGAAACCGCGACCACCCCTGAATCCACCGCGACCTCCTCTATCACCACCCCCACGGCCGAAACCACCGCCTCTACCACCGCCAAATCCACCCCTTCCTCCGTGTTTCTTAAAACCACCCTCTTCTTGATCGTCCTCCTAGAACAAAAGAGAAACTCAGGTCAATCGCCGTTTTTTTTACAAACGTATCATACGCGAATATCTTTTCGATTTGTCTCCCCCAAAGGAACATTTCAAAAAGGGTCGGTGAATGCACGGAAACATGGTCTCAAGCTTTTTATGGAACGGCGAGTGACCTGCGCTTCTCGGATGTTTCCAAGCATTTACCTTTGCCTCAAAAGAATTGTTAGCCAATTTGGGATCCAATTCTATTCGCTCGTCTTGTACACGACGGAAAGGAGTGTTTTTTTGCTGCTAAACATAAAATTTGACGAATAAAAACATTTACAAAATAAATAAATTGTTGATCATTTTCAAAAACAGTTACAAGATTTTTTTAAAAAAGAATGTACCAAATAAAATATTGTACCTTATCACCGTTGAAGCTATTGCCTGCTTTCACAAAATTGCTGTAATTGTTTTTATGCATTTTCATAGGTTTTTCATCATTCTCATCTTCCTCTTGTTGCTCTACTTCTTGGTGTTTCCTCTTCTCTGCTTTAGCTGGTGTTTTTTGCTGAGGTACTTTCTCTTCTTCCTCGGCATCGGAGTCGCTTTCCTCAGAATCGGAATCTTTTTTAGCAGCTGCTGGCTTTACGGGAGTTTTCATAATAGGCGCTGCTTGTGGATTTTCATCCTCCGACGAATCGTCGGAATCATCGCTGGATGATTTTTTCTTGATATTTGCTTTTGCTACTGCTTTTACAGGTTGTTTAACAGGCTTTTCATCTTCAGAGTCATCAGAGTCTTCGGAACTAGAGGATTCTTTCTTTGCCACTGGTTTTGTTACAGGCTTTGGAGCTGGTTTCTCATCTTCGTCGGAATCATCGGAATCATCGCTGGAAGATTCTGCTTTTTTAGCCGGGATGGGTTTAGCTGGTGTGACCGACTTGGTGGGAGCAGGTTTTTTAGCGGATGTTTCTTCTTCGCTACTCTCCTCGCTCGAAGACTCTTCCTTCTTAACAGGGGCTTTTTTTGTAACTACTGGTGTGAGAGCTGGCTTTTTAGTTGGAGGTGCGTATTCTTCGCTACTATTTTCGCTAGAGGAAGATTCCCGTTTCTTAGCAGGAGTCTTCTTTGCAACTGCTGGTGTTGGAGGAGCAGACTTTCTAGCTGGAGGTGCATCTCCTTCGCTACTTTCTTCGCTAGACGATGATTCTTTCTTTGCGACTATTGGTTTTGCTGGGGTAGTTTTGGCTTGTTTTACAGGTTTTACCGCTTCCTTCTTCGTTTTAACAGGTTTTTCTAATTTTGTCTTGTTTTGAACAACTTTTGGAGTTTGTTTTGAAGCAGTCGTCTTTTCCGAATCGCTAGATTCTTCTGAAGAATCGGAATCTTCGCTTGATGCTTTCTTTGTTACTGGTGCTTTAACTGCAGATGCAGCAAGTACTGATTTCTTTAATATTGGCTTAGCGGGACTTTTATCTTCTTCGCTACTGTCATCGCTGGAAGATTCTTTTTTACTGGGCGTAGCCTTTGCAACTGGTTTTGTAACTATCTTAGGAGTTACGTTTGCTTTAGTCATCTCTTGATCATCTGAATCAGAGTCATCATCCGAAGATTCTTGTGCTTTAGGTGCTGGAACTACTTTTGGAGTAGATACTGCTTTCGGTTGTTGTTTTGGTGTCTCTTCCTCTTCCGAAGAGGAACTTTCATCCGAACTTTCATTTTTCTTTACAAACTGTGCTTTAGATGGTGTCTTAACGGTAAGCTTAACACTTGCTGCTACTTTCGGTGCTGTTTTCTCATCTTCACTCGAGCTATCATCCGAAGATTCTTTTTGCTTATTTATTACAGCATTCGCTGGTGCTTTGCCATTTACTTGTGGGACCTTTTTCGGCGTTTCATCTTCGCTTTCTGAACTTGATTCCGAACTACTGTCTTTTGTTTGTGCTTTTACGTTGAGTTTTTTGGGCGAAGTCTTTTGAAAATATTGATATACTTCTTGTATCGTTGGCGCTCCCTTAGGCAGCGCGGGCTGAAAAAAAAAAATGAACATGAATGAAGCTCCGAATAGTTTCGCGATCAATCTGATAGTTACCCATATTGATACTATAAAGACGCAATAATGTTAATCCATGACAGAAAAACAAACGAATGATCATGATAGGCAAATACCATTTCAAGAAATATTCGAAATATGAAAGAATGGAAATATTTCGCCCACGTGGTATGACGGAATGGCGGCATTTCGTGCGCCGCATGGCAGCGGCACAATGAAAATCGATCAACGAATGTATGTATGAAAAATCTTTCTATAACCTTACCGCTTTTGTTTTCTTCTGAAAAACCTTCGCCAAAGACGTGTCTTTTTTTAACAAATAGTCGTACACAAGGGCAGATACACTTAATTCTTCAGCGGATGCCATGCTGGACGCGTGAGCGAAGATGCCGGAAAATTAGCCACAACTTCTCGCACGATTATACACCATCCGCCCTCCTGTGAATGGCGCTGCGATCGGGCATGAATCGCATAGAACTTAGATGCGTCGCTCATTTTTTTCATCATATATTTATTACTTGTTAAACACGCATTTGTGAATTAATTTTGCGGCAATATCACTTAAAGATGCATCTCGCTTATATTACGTTGTGTATAAATCTTTGTGTAGTAAATTGAATTAGTCGTTGCGCTTTCTAAAAATTGATGAAACCTTCCCGCTACTCTGTGATTGGTTAGTAAGCAGTGCTGGCAGTGCATTGGACGTTTTAAAAATTATGAAGCGGCTTCTGTAGTTACCCAGTAAAGTGTTACATTTTCGAACGAGAATTCAGTTTCTTTAATCGTGTTTAGCGGCAATCTTTTGTAAATAATGACTGAGACGCAGCAAAAGACGAAATGTATTACGTTGAAAGGTTCGGCACAATTAGTGAAGGAATATCTTCGTAAGTACATCGATCGTTTAATATTCCGTTCATGTGTGTTTATAACCGTCATTAGTTGCTTGGAGTCTGGGTAGAAATCATTGTTTTATGAATTGTTTTTCTGTTACAGTTTACGGAGTGAACAGTATTTTATATCAGAGAGGCATTTATCCACCAGAAACGTTCGAACCTGCTGAAAATTTTGGCTTGTTCGTTTTAATGTCGACGGATCCAAAGATCAAGGGATTCTTGGATACTGTGCTTAGTCAGATTCAAGAGTGGCTCGTTCAACGAAAAGTACAAAAAATAACCCTCGTTATAACGAATGTAAATACTAAAGAAGTTCTGGAAAAGTGGGACTTCAAGGTCGACTATGAGGGTCAAACTACAAATGGAGTAAACGATAGTATAAATAAGAATCTTCCTGATGTAGGGAACAAAGATGTAAAAACTATACAGAAGGAGATCCGTGAAGTAATACGCCAGATCACGGGTGAGCTTTTATACTTTTTTATACAAAAGGCTTTGATGTAACCTAACCAGTAGAAACATGTGTTGCATGATATTTACAGATCGATAAAATAGCAGAATATAATGCTGATACTTGAAAAAATAGTGTTTATAGTTACAAGTAGTGGTTAACTGTAGTGTGCATTCTTTGTAGGATCAATGTTTAATGTTATGGACTAGGGAGAGATGACAAGGTTATACAAATATTTTTGTGGTTTTTTATGCTTTAGGTACAGTTAGTTTTCTTCCATTATTGGACTGTTTATGTTCTTTCGACATCTTGACTTATACAGTCCCTGACTGTAATATTCCAAAGGAATGGGATGAAACACAGCCTGTTTTCATTGCCAATAGCCAAGAAGTTCAATTGAGGTCGTTTTCAACTTCTCTTCATAAGATGGAGACTATAGTTAGTTATAAGAATCTTTAGAATTATTTATCCGTGGTTGTTGATTGTATATACAAAACATACGATAATTTTAATGTTCTTAGCAATAATTATTAATTAAGGCTGTTACGCAAAACTTATTATATACCAAGATCATCAAACTGCATCGATGGTTGCATTATTTTTAAGAGTTTGCATGTATCGACACTATTATTGTCTGTAAAGAGTTTTATAAGAATATATTTTTTGATATTACATCGATACTTTAGCTCATCCTATGGGAAACCAGTCACTTTGATAGTTTCAGGGAAATTTAGGGACAGGGAGATTGAATAAGTCGGTAGAATCTTGGCAGATTTTATTAAAACATAATTGACTATTACACGTAACACAGGAATTATATTATTTTACTTGGCAAAGCATGAAAGATACGACTAGAATAAAATATTCTCCGTGTTTGACGTACGTCATATACCAAAATCGCAAGTAACGTCGTTAGCATTACATAAACGTTCTCGAGTGTGTACGATCGCTCCAAATTTCTCGAATATTTCGCACGTTTCTCTTTCGATGCACGGTAATGACACGAATCCCCGAAACAAACATGAATCCGATATTAAACGTAGAATCGAAGTAAGTAATCCATGGGAGCGCGTACACGTTTGACTATTAGGCATCTCTTTAAAGGTATCGTGAACGCGTGAGAAGAGCGTGACAAACTTTGTCCCTATCTTGTCTCGTAGCGTAAGTAGACGGTACACAGCTAACGTGGGTCAACCCACAGGCAGAGTATATCGTACTCTTCTCGCGAGCAAACAGTATATATAAGTAGTAACTCGCGACGGATTCGAGGCATCCTTTCGGTGCGCGGTCTGAAACGAAACTCGATACAAATCTCGCTTCTTAAGTATACTATTTTCTTCGTTTTTTTTTTTTTCTTCGCGACGATCGAATAAATTGGTACTGGTCGTAAATTCTCGCCTCCGGTACCTATCGTACCCGGACTATCTCGAACGATAATCGAAGACCATTTTTGTTTAGGAAACATCAACAGCGGCGTATGCTTTCGTTACGATAACAGCAGCATTCGTTTTCCCTTACGACAGTTTTTCGCTATTAAGTTCCGTTAACGTACTTCGTGCTGCTAGAGATTTTTAGCCTTTACGAACCATAGTGCACCTCGTTTTCGCTATTAGACTATCGTCGAACGTGAATCGTTCGCCGTTCACGCGTCGTACAAAAAACGAATCGTTCGGTCGGCCCTCTCGCTTTCTCTCTTGTTTCTTTTTTTCTTTATTTCATTCGAACTAACATTATTCAACTTTCGAGAACAAGGCAAGTTTGCTTGCTTCCACGGTGTCTTCGCACTGCCCGACACATCCGAGGGCGGACGGCACGTCCGTAATAATAATCTTCAACGCTGTACGCAAGCTGTACGCTCATAAATCTCGCCTAGACTATTTAGATTTACGTCGGTTTTTTGTCTGGTTAGTTTACACACTGCAAAAGCTGCTGGAAATACGTTGAAGTTTATAAACATTACTAATCCGGCTGGTCCGCCGTGTGCTGGTTTTCTTGCGACGACTTAAGTGCACCGTTTGAATCTGAGACGTAGGGGATAATTTGGTAATTATTAGCTACATTGAACAATTGCGCCGTCGTTCCTAAGTTTAGATTCACTTGACGCGTACAATCGACGATATAAACGCAAGTTAAAAAAGAAAATATAGTCAATATTTCTTGAAACATTTTACGACATGCAAATGTTATTATTATGAAAATATATTTATCCTTTTATTGTTGTTGGAAATTCGGATACTCAAACTTGAAAAACCAAACACAGTTTACAGCGGCACAGGTGATTCTAAACTTTCAAACGATTGCGTATTTATTAATGGGGGGTCAATGGTCGAGGAAAATGGAAACTTTTTAAGGTGAAATTCGTAGAATACGTCTCTCCGTTCGTCACGACCATTAGGCACAGCCACCGCGGACCAGAACGAGCGTTGTGTCGCTATAACATTACGCGATAATTCTCTCGAGTATCGTAAAAACGCGTCTCCTAGTAGAAACATTGAAAAATAAACAACGCGAAACAATATACAATATTTTACAGTAGCACTTTTTAGTCGTTTCGTCCGTGACAGGGCGGGAATTCCCGCGGATCGGCGATCGATATTCGACGAAACGAAATATTGGTCGCGTTCCCTTCCGATCCTGGCTCGGAATCGACGTGAACGGTGACGATCGACGATCGTTCGTCGCTTAATTAACTATTATTTATTATTACCGTCGCCAGTCGTTCTGCGGGCCCTGTTCGTACGCTCGAAAAAAAAATCTACGCGTTTCAGAGACGGGCAAAATTTGATTCGAATAATAGATGACGAATAAACACGCTCTTCGGCAATTTATTCGCAACGTTTATTCGATTGGGATATTCCATAATTATTATCGAACTAATATAGGATAAAAAGTTTGCATCTTTATTTATTCACCTTTTATACATCATTTATTCATCTTTCTTTACCTTTCATTCCTTACTCAAAACTCTCGTCTAGATAAATATTTTGACCGTCTCTGATGCATCTCTCCAGTCCCGTCCGGACTGTGCAACACGTTGTGCACTTTTGAGTCTTCGTTTATACACCTCTACTTAAGTTTTACCTTGGACTAATCGCTATATTCAATATTCGATTTACGATCGTTTTATGCGTAAAATATCATAAAATACATTCCTCTTTTGTTCGATATGAGTAGACTCGTCGTTCCGATCGTCTATCGAGCGGGTCGCGACGATATTTTCTCTGTTCTCCGTTGTTTATTTAAGCGGCAACGTTCGCGGAAAGCGTCGTTTTCGTTCACGTGTTTTCTCTCAGAAATGGGTAAAATCGTATTCGAATAATACACGACGAATGAAATGAACCTGTAGCGATTTATTCGTTCGCTATAACATATTTCATTTTAGTATTTAGATATAAATTTGCGTCGAAAGTGTAAGGGACAATTAATTTATCTTTTATTACAAACTACGGTATAGTTTTGCGTGAAGGCACGCCCGTGTCGATCGGGACGACGAGTCATCGATGACTCACGATGACTTTCATACAAATCGTTCGATAGGTACGAGCGACGCGAAATGAATTCGTAACGGAAAAGCACGGCGGCACTAGTAAGCTTGCACGGACATCATACGCTACCACGGTTTCCTTCTCGTTTCAGAAAAGTCTGTTTTGGTTGCGCGGAAGCTCTTCCTTTTCTCGCGCGGGAGAACGCTGGGGAACACTCTGTTCGCTCGTTTGTTCGGCAACTATCTGTACGTGATTCGTTTATACCTCTACAAAATGTAAAAAGTTGGCGCGCGTGTTTACTCGCCGATCGTTGGAAACGCGAAAACCAATGCCTTTATCGGTTTTACGCTGTACAGCTTACAAACAAATAAAAGGGATGCTTTTTTGGGATCGATTCTTTTTACGCGAGATATCGATCCCTGTATATTGGAACGATCAGACTCGTCCTTTCGTTCGATATCGCCCGGTACTTTATTCGAGCAGCGTCGAGATCACCTCAAGAAAGATTTCAGCTTTCTCGAAGAAGTCGATTCGTGACTTCCGGAGTTAAGTTCGCCCCTAACGAGAGTAACTCGTCCCGTGTTTCCTTCCACTATGTTTTTTCTTTCTCTCTTTTCTTCGTCGACGATCGTTCCAACCGGGCCAATCGAGGCCGACATTACGATTCGGCGGTGGCGTGGCGAAAATGTAATTACTCGCCCGCCTTCGGGGCGCAAACGATTCTTACGGCGACGCTCGCGAGCTCCGTTAATTAAAGTACCGCCCGATTTCTCCCAGACTCGGCGTAAATAACGCAACCCAAGAGTCGCAAACGACTTTGTCAAACCAATTTCCACCGAGCTTTCCGGCTTTTCCTTTAACAGAGAAACACACGACTGGCTCTGGTCTGCAACGTTTCCGATCGATCGGCGCTCGACACGCGCGCCTCTCGAAGGGGATACAAGGGATACTTTGTACAAGAGGGTCCTGGACGCGTCTAAATGCACGTTGCGACGGACTCTCGCTTGGTAAATTGACCAGCGTCTCTTTCACGGCGGTTTAATTCTCCATTTCGAACACCTGGTTTTGTCTTCGAGGCAGACACCTCTGAATAGGGATGCAATCGAGTTCGGTACAGGCCTGGAAATCTTCGCTAATATTTTTCGAATTTTAGCAGCCGTTACTAATTACTCGAGTTTACTTTATTAACCCTATAGTGCGCAATTTTTCAATACGGAGCAAACACGAATAACACTGTACCGCAAAAATTCTTTTATAACGTAGATGTTTTATTTCTGTTAGGAACAGCCCATAAGTTGTTGTTTACCTTGACATGTAATAAAATATCAAAGAAAAATGCGGTTGATGCATGTGCGCATTCATGCGCACCGTAGGGTTAATTTACTAAATTTTTCTTTTCCTCATTCTCGTCAAAGCGCCCCTGGCAAAATGCGCCCCGATGCGATGTTTATTTTCACGTACAACTAGTTTTGCCAGCGGATATCAGTTGGCTCAATATTTGAGGTTCGTTTTGATAGAAACGAGAAGTACTCGTAAAAATAGAATTCAAGAAGGAGAATGAATACGTGGATGGTTCGTCCCAATAAGCAGCGACGGAATCGAGTTCGGTGTGTTTCAACTAAACAAAAGATACGCTCGATCTCATCGTTGCCGATAAACCTGCGATCCTCTCCATGCCACGAAGCAAAGGCACCGCGTACAAATCGTACTTTTGGACCAACGAATTTATAGAACGGAGGCGATGAAAGGCTTTCGAAACTGTCCGGTTCTAGTACGGTACGCGCGATTACGTCCCTGCCTCGAAGACATTTGAGTAGCCGCCACGTAGGAAGACCCGTTGATCCTGGAAATCCTATTACAAGATCCGGGATTGTCCAGGACGAGTCCTTTTTTCTGCGATCCCGCAAAACGAAATCGTCGCGTCCACGTGGCGTTGTAACGATCCCCACGTGCTCGACGAGGACGGTTTACGGTCTCTATCCCTTCTCTTTGCCCCTGTCACCTTTCCCCGTTATGAAAAAGAACGGATAACCATGAATCTAAGAGCCATTTTTCACGGAGGGTCACGAGAAAGCATCGATAACGTTTCGGATTCTTTGACGACGGATTATCGAGCGTCCAAGGCAGACGGAAGTAAATAGGGACCGCGATGGTCAGACCTGCTCGGCAGCTCTGTCGAAAGAAGCT